CAACTATACTGCCGCGCGGGATAAGCGGGGATGCGCAGACGCAGGAACAAATCTCGCCGCCAAAACAAATACGTGTCACTAGAAGCGGGAGAGTTGTTCGTCAGCCAGATCGCTTCGAGGTGGTTAATTAAAGTTAAAATTAATTGTTACTTAAAAGAGCAAAAAAAAAAAAAAAAAGCTAGTAGTTAGTTGTTTTAGGAGGTTTAATATTTTGCATAATATTGTAATTGTTGTTGTTAGATTGTGTTTATACCCTATATTATTCGTAATTATAGCCTTCCTAATAGGATAGTTAGGATAGGTTTATATTATGTATTTGGTTATTACTAATAGATACAATATAATATATCAATATGTCAACGTTATTTGCGTCAACAATTTATAACTAATAAGATCAGTTATTCTAATTTGATATCTGTATGAAATTAGAAATTGTTAATTAAATTTAATTAATTTACTTATACTTTGTTTAAACGATGAAATGATAGCTACATACTTTGGTGCATAATATTGTATAATAATTAATATAATAATTTATATATTCCAAACTAAAACAGAATACTTTTTTTTTTATTGTTCATTAGGGAGAATAAGGATAGTGTGATTAATTGATTAATGTATTAATTATAATTATTATTCAAAATTTGGTAAACATTGTACAAGTGATTATAATGTAACTTGAACTTTGAAGAAAGGGAGATGTTGTAGGTAGTCTTAGGAAATAATATCATAGTCTTAGCGGAAGTAAAGATAATCTACCCTCCTAAGATAATGTGTACAATTACGAAGTACAAATGTATGTGTAAAATAAACAGTCGTAACATAGATGCCGTTTTACTTGTACCTTATATTACTACATTTATTTAATTTAAAAAAAACATGTTAACCAAAAAAAGAGTACGGACCAGGAGTCTGTAGAGTTACTTTGTTAAAATAAAAAAAAATAAAAAAAACTGATATATCTCTGAGGCTTAGTAAGCTGAAGTAGCAACGGGCCGGCCAGAACTCGAAGAACCGATAACCGTTGGGAGAAGAAAGGTAGCCTTGTATTGGCCATCGTAGTTTAGGACGACCCACCACTAATACAAAATACATAATAAAAACATAGTAAAGAAAAGTCCAAATTTAAAAAAAAGAATCCAATTTTTCAATGGCGCCAATAATTTTATCATAGAAGTCAAAAAATAAATACGATACTGAAAAGAAAACCTGTCGCTAGTTGTAACGTCGCACATTTATGTGTGGTGTGGAAATTTCAGTTAAAATCTGTGTTGAATTCGATAAGCATTTATAATAAAATGCGTGCCATTGTCATTCAACGACAGCCGGAGTTAAATTAATTTTACACACTATTCTCTCGAGCTGTCACCAACCAGTTGTGGAACGTTTATAAACCGCAAATTATATTCGCATTATGAGCACAGCTATGTTTCAGATATTATATTTTTTACTGCGACAGAGTTCCAATAAATAAATGAAATATAGAATTTTTCAGATTCTCTATTTATTCTGAAAAAAAGTTTATTTTTATTTTTATGGCAAAAAGAGGCAAGCAAGCAACATCTGATATTTGTGATGACCGCCAATAATGGAAGTCGACTTGTTGGGTGCAGATGGGTTGGTTGATTCCTCGGAAGAGCCTGCCCATTCGAGCAACAACAGAAGCTTTTACGTTGCTACTTTTTCTAGTATATATGTGATTAATCAGATACGGAATTCAACTAATGATACAATATTTTATATTCATTGAAAGTCTTAAACTAACTGTTTGACAAATATCGAATGTTCAGAGAGCAATAAATTTTGTTCAGAAGTTCTTTACATGACGCAGATGGGCACTAAGAAAGGATCGTTAAAAACTCTCTCAGGGGCTAAATAGTTGAGGTAAATCTACCTTAACTCTTAAAATAGTGGTGGAGGCGAATGACACCATTTTTATGCTCAGCTACATTTTCTACGCTCTTAACTCGGAATTATCAAGCACCACCTGCAGGCATGTAATTACCATGGACTCTCGTGGACACCAAAAATGTTGAAGATGCTATGCCAACCTTAAAGAGGCTTAAATCTCTCCCTGGGTGTTAGTCCACGTGCAAACTTATGAATAAATTACAGCACTGGGTAATATTAGGATAATATTACGATAGGGCCAATTTTTTCCTTTTTCTTCATTAAATGTAAACTTTATTAACGTTCTAGTGGTGTTTTTAAATCTATACTTCTTTCATCGTACTAAACGCTGTGAGGTACCTCTACCACTGCATAGTTACTAATATATGAGACAGCCCCTGATGGTAGAGAAGATTTATACTGTTTCTCATTCCAAATCCCCAAAAAGCGACATGATGCTTGTTAACCAATTTAATTTTGGCGACATCTAACAACGTTTTGTCATTTCCCAATAATTCTAAGTTATTGAAATAAACCGTTATCAATAGAATTTAATGTCATTACGCTAAAGAAGTATAACTTCTTACGTACGTATATAAGCACACACATATTTTTTTTTATTTTGCCAACAAATGTAGTTGGAATTTTAAGTTGCAATAACATATTTTGTTGACCCAAAACTACGGGGATACGCTTAGGTTAGCCAAGAACGTTGAATTTTAAAAGTTCAGTGGCTTGAGATATTAACATGTCACAGAATCCTACACATTGCCGTTAAAATTTTTATTGAAAGTTATTTTTAATCGAATGACGTATTATCTACTATGGCTTCATTTATAGCTATCAAAAAGCAAAAAAAATATTGAGATCATCTCATCGTATCCGATTATCCAGATATGAAACATAATATTTATTATCTACATAAGTTCATTAAAATTTTCGACTGAATACTATAATATTCAGTCGAAAATTTAATGAAAACATTACGAAATTATATGCATTCAGGTCTAAACTATATTTCAATAGAGGCAACGTTGCTAGCTAATAAGCGTTAGAAAAAGATTTGTGTCCGTCAAGCAGTGTTAAAGCCACCGCTTTGTTGAATTTAAAGATATCTAATGCCAGTGGCGCAACCATTCATAAATATGCAGAAAAGAGTACCCCAACAAACCGGACTGCATTAAGAAATGGAAAATTGCAGTGGCAAGTCTAATTTCAAAGATGAATTAAACATTCTTTTAAAGAAAGTATAAGTTCCGTTTTTTACGTAGATTAAAAATTACAGTTCATTATGGATATTAATTTTTCTTTTAAAGTGTACACATTTGGTAAAATTAGTTTAATGAAAAAATGCCGTAGCATTTTTATATTCATCTTGATTAATACACTTGTTTTTGCACATTCATCACATTGTTGGTTATTGATAATAGTCTATCGTACATCAATATTCTATACGATCAATTACTGCCTGTCATAAACCTTTGTTTGAATAGGCGCGGTTCGATAAAATCAGTGTTTGTTTTCTTTTTCAAAAGCTCTATGATAAACCTTCAAATACTTAGCCACAAAGAACTTTATAAGGAACCAGTCTGGTCGTAAAAAGAAAAAAATAGTTTCTTACTTTTTGTATCGTCTGTAAGTTATCATATGCTAAAAATAAATAAGTTATAATGAAAACATTTTGTCCTATAAACTTTTATAGTGCTGACCACTGCACTTAAAATAAATTTGTCTCCGAAAACCCTTTGTTGTGGAACGAAAATTTAAATGAGGTGCGTTTTAATTTTTCTTCATAATCGGCATGCACATTCCTGAAAACCTTACAGTATTAAATTGACGGTGGTTAGGTTATTGCTATTATAGGGCCCGAGTTGATTTCACCAATCTTGCATCTCACCTTGAAGGACTTAATACTTTCTATCCGAGACCTACATAGTCCCCAGCTTCATCTTAGATCAAACCCGTGGAAACACTTATTTCCACATGATAGAGTATATTGTCCTAGTCTGCAGCGCTATATGTATTCTTCAAAAGAATGATGGGCTAATTAAGTTTTCTTCAACATAGGGGTAATATAGGTCAACTAGAATAGTTAAACTTGCTTACACACAAATAAACTGAAGAACTCTATTTATTGTGAAATATACAAAAGGAGGGAACTCTGTCTTTTAATGTTATAAGCAATACCTATATAACTCGTTGGAAAAATGTAGCTTCTTAAACGGTCTACATTTATACAGGTGTATTGTTGACCCTTAACGCTTGACATTTTCAGCTCAACAAACAATTTCATCGGAAACGAAGAAATTCCGATACCAGGATTTTCATATTGGGCGAAAAGTTTTGTCATAAAATTTAGGTTTCAAATGATGTCTTTGAAGACGGAAGTAGAAAATTATTTACAGAATTGGTTGACGTTGCGCGATGTGAAACAGACAAATGAAAATTTTCTTCTATTCCCTGTTTAGTACAATAGTTTGTGTCAGACTACTTAGGAAAAGCGGTTTTCATTACTGATTTTTCCAAAGTAATGTTTACTACATTTTTGTATTGGCTATTAAATAGTTAGACAAAAGAACACCTTAATAATTGTTTACAATAGAGACTCGCGCGTTTTTCGTATACGTTGTTTTTCCTTTTAATGCATAAAAATGTACACCTAAGGAATCAAACATATCAGTTAGTAATAAATACTTGTTAAACCTAATTTATCTTAATTTATAAATAATAATGTTTTTAAGTATTATGTATAAGTGACATTACTCCCTTTTTGCATGGCTCCTTTATATGTATATAAAAATGCAGGTTCACTTAGGGAGCGTAATCTATCGTTTGAAAGAAATATATGTTAAACCTAATTATTATTAATTTACGAATAATAATATTTATAGTATTGCTGTATTTCCAACAAAGTAAAAACGTGAGTCCCCTCTTAAAATTATAGACAATAATTAATTTTGTACGCAACGTAATGGCGGATTTTCTTAGTATTGCATGATAATTGTAAACAGTTATCAAAAGCATAATCGTGGTACGCACAATGTAGATGTTTTTTTTTTTAAATTTATAATATTAATAACTCCTAATGACTGGCAACTGAGTCTTCTCACCTGCATTTCATCATTATACCGCGATCGTGTTGACCCTGGGGCGTTAGGTCGTTCGAGTAGCAGCAGCTCGGTAAGAATTATTACCCCGAAGACCGCAAAGAACATAATAAATATAAAGAAGCTGATGTTGGCGCGCTCTTTAGCGCGGGAAGGAGCCGCGCGCGCGCGCCAACGCATAGTGCCGGTTCTGCACTAGCATGAATGACCACCAATAAAAGCACAACACTACTAAGCACGCAATGTCACCAGGACCGCGACATCCCCGGTCGCTCTAACAACACGTCACAATACAAGACCTTCGCACACTGACGCACAATGTATGACAGCAGTCAGGCCGCCTGGATAAAGTCAGTCAGTATACCGGGTTACTAGCGCGAAGTTTATTTTCCTACTACATAATGCACTAAATTTAAAAATACCCATTCATTAACGTTTTTTAAAGCACAGTAATTTCAACATATAAGCATATATAATAACAGGCCTTTTTAGTACTCATTTTGTTAAACGATGCAATTGGACAAATATTTCCTTTGCATTTTAAGCAAATACGCGTTATTTTATAAATAAAACTACACAAATTTTGCACTTATGTCGTTTTTATCAAAAACAAACAAGAGAGTTTATATATTTGTTCCATAAACCGTAGGTGTATTAATATAAATTTCACTCATGGCCAGAAATTTATAGACACTGTACCACGGAAAGCAAGAAATTTTGAAATATTGACGTATGTATTTGTTTATATCTATGAGTTTGCGGAAAAAGATACATATACCTTAAACAAACAAAAATTTTGTTTACTTGTTAGCGATCTTTATTAGATATCAAATTAACAACTATAAATACATACGTATTTTAGAAAACTACACATTTTGAATAAATTTCCAACGACTAGCAACACAGCCACGTGAATCTTACACGGCGCATGCGTCCCGCCCGCCCCACGTTCAATGACTCGTTTCGTTGACGACGATTACAGACAACGCACAGCTTTCCACGAGCTTCTTTTTCCCTTATCCACAAATAAATAATGTCTATTATTGGCATTTGTATAATGTGCCTAGCTCTCGCTTACTGACTGTGTGCATAATTACTATGATTCTAACTCAATCACTGATCCAATTTAACCGCAAGATAAAAATATAGGTTAGGAATGAGAACATGTACTTGGCTTTTTATCTTCTATGTATATAGTATGAATATTTCTTTTAATGTTATAAACTATAATAACGACCATAAATTGTTAGATGTAACCTAGTTGAACATTTTGTAATGTACATTTGAATCAGATATCAATAGTGTCCAAAGTGTCAACAATATAGCAGCTTTAACAGCTCACCAATAGGACGTGGATGGCCGCATTCACTACCTAAGAAAGAATTAAACATTGAATGTAAGTAATAAACTTAAAAAAAACCGCCCAAGTGCAAGTTGGACTCGCGCACGAAGGTTTTCATAGAATTATCCATAATAACAGCAAAAAAAATCATGTCTGTTGTATAGGAGCCCCGCCCCACATAAATATTTTTATCCTGCTTTTTAATATTTGGTGTTATAGCGACAAAAGAAATACATCATCTGTAAACTTCAACTATTACTGTTCATGAGATACAGACGGACACACAGACAGACAGTGGAGTCTTAGTAATAGGGTCCCGTTTTACCCTTTGGATACGGAACCCTAAAAAGTACCAATATGTTGATGTTTCATCCCACGATAGTTCCTTCGATCATTCAAAATGGTAAGTTTCGATTTTCTTATCTAAAAAGTGTCCTTGAAGACATTCTCCATTACCAACTAGGCTAAGTAAAAATTTAAAATTGTAGAAATTTTGCTTAGATCTCAACAAATAATAAACTAGTATTCTGGGATCATTTATACTGTGGTAGTGAAAAAACAACATTACAGTTTACTTAACAGCTACTACGAGTAGTACCGGGAGATAGCACGGCATAAAAAACATGACAATTTCTATTTTCAAAAAATCAATACGATGAGTTCTTTGCTATATTAAAGGTGAATCATAACAGTCAAAGTGTCAAACATGGCATATTGCTTGAAATAGGTTAATATTACGCCCATTACAAGCCATACTTATACCTTAATAAATTATAGCTTTGACCACGTTGTATCATAAAAGCCGAGTTTTTAATATTTTACTAGGGGAATTATCAAAAAGTTTCTTACTTCTTGCCAGACTAATTGAATGTCGGACGAAAAAAATCTAAATTAACTATATTACTTTAAAAAATATCATTGAATATAAAAATCTTACGAGGTTTCTTAATCTGGTTAACAGGTTTCACTTATTTTATATTCCTTGATGTTGCTTATTTAAGATTGTAGTAACAAAATTATGAGTACAAAAATTTGTATAAAAGTGTAAAGTTTATAAAAGATAATCTATTCACTTTCATCGTAAAAACATTTTTCCGTCGCCGTAATGATTGCCTATAAATGTGTATCAAAGATCTTAACCAAGGTAAGAATCCGAACGTCCAAAAACTATCATCGGAATACACCCCCACGACCTAAGTCCGCAAGATCAATGGCCCAGCCACCATTTCAACGCCGCCTCACAGAAGACCGGCGTAAAGTGGAAGTGATATACTTTTGCGTTGCGTCTGGTGAGTGAGCGAGTGAGCTAGCCGGGGCCTACTTTATTAAAAGATAGCAACGCATCTGCAAACCCGCGGGTGTTACAAATGTCAATGTTCAAGGGTTATCACTTAACATCAGTAATCGACACTACTTTTCCTGAGAGAAACTATCTATTATTATTAGTATTACAAAACTACTTCAATCTGTTCTTTTTTCACGTCAAATAGCGGCAATAAATCATGATTTTTAAATGGAGATTTTTGTTTAGGGACCATAGGCCACATCAGATTACGGAAAAGAAAAATAACTTCTACAATATATAATATAATATTTAATATACTATAACATATTATATAATAGTCTTCCTACGGTCGCAAACTTAACTGGTTTTCTATTCGTTTTTTATATTCGTTGTTCCAGAATTCTCTTGCTATTGTATTCTATATTATTATTCCGCAACATAATACAGGATACTTACTTTCCACTCTTCTTTTACTGTTCAAGCAACACTCCTCTATTAATTTATGTATATACATATACATACAGCGTGTCGTTACCATCGCGACAATAAATGAACACACGTCTAACGCTACTTGCCAATAATCATAAAAAAATATTAACATTAAACAAAATCCATAATTAAAAAAAATATTTTTCAAACAAACTAATTAAGTAAAAAAGAAACAAAATTTATAACAGCCTATACAACTCGCGCCACAGCGTCGCATTACAAGCCTCTCCTTCTAACAGTATGTTTTGTCTCTTTTAAATTCAATCAACCCATTCATATGCTTTGTGACCTTTACAAATGAACTTTACGTTACGCTTTTATAGGTAAGGATGTTCTAAAATTCTTTGTTTTGGAAAATTTTATAACTCTGTAAATATTATTGTTTAAAGAATTTAAATGTTTAATATAACTTTAAAAAGCTATCCCCTATATGTGTGTTCATTTATTGTCGCGATGGTAACGACACGCTGTATACAGGAGGAGTGGTATGCTTAAGGTATAACACTGACGTTTAAATTAAAAGAAACCGGCAATGTGCGAGTCGAACTCGTATGCGGAGGGTTCCGTACCTACCCATAATAAAATTGGTAAATAATCACCACCGATTTCCCCAGGAACGGGTGGACCTAGCAAGTTGAAATTTATACCAGATACTGAGGTATATAATCTCTATTAGTTGTGTAGAAATCAAGATCCTGAGCCAACACGATAAAAATATATGGACAAATTTAGCTGAATTTTCCCTTTACTTGCTTTTAACCTTAATTGACAATTCTAGGTCAGTATCCGGAAGTACTCTATAGGTTTTGAGTCGAAAACCTATATGGTAGTTCCCGTTGACCTTTGATTATATAGGTACTTGTCTAGATGGAGCATTGCGTTGTCGTTAGGTAAATTATCATTTACTGATTAAATAAATAATACAATTTTTAAATAATTATGTCCCTATCGAAAGATGTTGTAATAATAATATTCGTATTTTGTCGCCCTTAGTTCCCCCAAAACTTACTAGTAATAAACTGGCAGCATCGGCTAACCAGAACAAAATAACGAATTAAAAATCGTGTTTTCTTAAATTAATAGTGGCTAAATAACAAAACTTACCTATGAAACGTGATCTTAGTATTATTGTACGATTTTCCCAGATAATTGCGACACGATTTGATAGCACAAACCGCCATACGTAATTAATTTTCGTGAGCAGTTAGTGATTCAAATCACTAACTAAACGTAATGATTACATTATCTTTGTTCAAATGACACTGACGTAAGTGAAAAGCAAGTATACCAATTTTAGTACAGATTTTTGCGCCGCTCGGAACGGCTAATGTGTCATCTAGACAAGTATAATTATAATCAAAGCCGTTAACGTAGAATCACGGCTAAAGCAAGACAATTGTCAAATTTGGTTAAAAGGCCTTACAGGACAAATAAAGGAAAATTCGTAAAAATAAAAAAAATGAAAATTATGGTAAATTTTGGTACATACAAGTTTTCGTGAAAATCTCAATTTGCCCATAGCTTTTTTTCGTGTTGACTCGGGACCTTATTTTTATACTCCTAATTGGGCCTATAGAGCCCAGTATCTGGTATAAATTTCAACTTGCTGAGTCCACCCGTTCCTGAGAAAATTGTTGTTGACACATAGACAAGCAGACGGACAAGAGAGTGATCTTATAAGGGTTCCCTATTTTACCTTTAAAGTTTCGAAACCCTAATAAAAAATAAATACAGAGACGCCATACCTACGTATATCATTTTATTTTATTTTTGGGAAGCTTCCGTGACCTCGGCTTGAGCTGTTACTCAATGACCATGTAGATTCTGATTCGAAGGAACCTTGGCTTGATCGGTAGCAGTTATCTGACTAGGAGAATTACTATAGCTATCATCACTACCACTGCAGAAAACGTTGGCCCTAGAGAAGTAATGCGGAATAAACTCCAGCAACGCTTGTATCTTTAGGTATGTACATGGCGGAATCTAGTATTTTTGAACACACCGCACTCGTCACCGATTCCTCCCAAGGATGACTCGCGAGGTTATTGAAATTAAAAACACCCTAATTTCAATAGAGACGAGGTTTGTGTCAGCTTGGGATCCTATTTATAATAAAATTTAATCAAGACAAGATAAAATCATCAAATGAAAGTATCCTCCTGTAGATCAAAATAAAAATCAATAATTTGAAACTGGCGGTAGCCCAGACTAACAATGACACGCAGACGTCCAACGCCTCAGTCTGTCCCATAGATGATACATATATACTGAAATGTCTGTCTGAAAGGTCTGTCCCGTGACCATGAACGTTGTAAATGGTTGGAAACGTCGGGAAATAAAACCAAAAATAAACGCGATAAATCCGAATACATAGTTCTTTTTCTAAAAAGTTTATTTATTCGCGCAAGTTTAATTAAAACAATGTAATAGGTACATCTAATAAGAAGGAATGGAACGAACACTATAATGATTAATTGATTTTATAAAATGATTCAGTCTATGTTAAGGTTAGCTAGTTTACCTTGAAATCTTGACTAGTTAAAAAGTAACTAAGTATCATTGCTTCCTAACAACCACTGAATAATCTTAATGGTGTTCATTCAAATATTTAATATGTTGTATTTTTATTTCAGCAAGAGAGAGGTGAGCTTTTTTTAATATATTTATATACAATAATGTTCATTACATTAAAGTTATGAAATGGCTTTATCGGGATATGAACTATAGCATGGAATTACCCTAACATATATTTACCCTAGTGTTATTTGGTAAAATCAAAATATATCTGTGGATTAATGTAGCCAAATACTTTGTGATCCAGGTATGTTTTTTTCATAATCTCTTTTTTTAAAAAAACAATGTGCGTACGTAGTTATTGAAATGTCTTAAGTTATAATAATTATACAGTCATGAGCTAATTTACCTGTAGTAAAATCATTAAATACAGCTTCAATAATCAGTCCCTATTTCGGCTTCAAAGAAACAGAAGAAAACACCAATACCGTACCTAATCCTTAACTGAAGTTGACATTTGTGTTTATCTTTTTATTCTGTGCTGGTCATTGATCATTTTGACATAAACCAATTTCATCTCATCAATAGAATCCTGAAACGCCTCTGATTATTGGCTTTTAATATTTTTAATTATAAATTCACCCACAGAATAGTCTGTACAAACGAGTTCTGCTACGCAAAAAAATTTCGACATTCGTATCGATCAAAATAAATAGTGATATGCATAGGTGAGCTTTTCATTGTATTGTATGGAAAAACCCAATCGCATTTTTTATTCGTAAATATTAATGATTATATTTAAATAGTATTAAGAGATATCATGTTTATTTTATGAAAATGTGCAGAAAATATGTTTAAGAATCTTTTTTTCTTTTTGGTCCATTCAATATACTTTATTTCTTTCTTTTTTATTTCAGCGCAAATAATGTCGTCCTATGAAAAATTAAAACTTCTTATTTGGAAAAACTTTTTATTACAAAGGCGACACAAATGGCAAACTATTTTCGAAATAGCCTCACCTGTTATATTTTCATTATTTTTAATTCTTATAAGATGCCTTGTGGATCCAAATTCAAAACCAGATATTGTGTATCAACCATTTCTTCCAACATACTTCAATATAAGTGGTAGAACACTGTGAGTACTGTGGTAGTATATTTGTTTCTTTCTCTGCTGTGAATAATGGTAAGAAGTCTAACTTAATAAAGTAAAAGTATATTGAAGCTAGCAATATTTACCATACGGATATTCATTAATTATTAAATGTAAATAATTTTTTTCCAGAGGTAATCTCACAACAGCAAAGAGGGAAGGAACTCTTGCATTCTCACCTGAAAACCCTCTTACTAGAAAAGTTACTGAAGATGCAATGGCGATGGTTGCGCTTGATAATCTCAATGGTTTATTGGCCCTACTCTTTGACACAAAGATGCTGCCGCAGCCAAAAGGTTTTAATAATTCACATGATCTGGAAAATGCTCTGACTCAACCAAATGTTATGAATCATATTTTAGTAGGCATACAGTTTGATGACAGTATGGCAAGTAAGTCATTTCCTGCAATAATATTTTATTGTTTCATTATTTTTTATGTTTGTTTATTGCCCATAAAATACTTCATTTTCTTAAAATAAAACCATTGCATTCAATTACTTATGATCTAGTTACAGCAGTTATAATCATGTCGAATTGAAAATTGAAAGGTGATTCTGAATTAAATTGTTTTTTTATAGATGCAACTAGTTGGCCTGATGACATTTCTGTAACATTAAGGTTTCCTGCTGTAATGAGAACTCCTATGGTGGAACACCCATTGAGAGCAAGTTGGAGAACTAATTTATTATTTCCTCTATTCCCACGACCAGGGCCTAGAGAAGCAGATGACCTGTATGGGGGGAAAACTCCAGGTGTATATATTGTGATATGCAACACAAGACTGCATCTCACTTTCTTTACTGCTCATTATAATTTCTCAATTATTTATTAGTATAAATATTTTTAAAATCCTTCCCTTCCTCCAATTTCAGGCTATTCACCAGAAATGTTCCTAGCAGTGCAACATGCAGTATCTCAAGAAATAATAAAACAAAAATCAGGAAAATCTGTTAACACCAAAGTGTATCTTCAACGTCTACCTCAGATAGCATACAGAAACGATGACTTATTGATAGCTTTAGAAAGATTTATATCTATGATAATCATGCTTTGTTTTGCATATACCTTTGTCAACACTGTTAGAGTTGTGACTCAGGAAAAGGAATTGCAATTAAAGGTACTGGTAAAATTAAATTACATATTTTTAATTACTTCTTTTTTATTTCATGCATGTATCCTTTTATAAAAAGGTTCATCCTATTCAGACAGATATATTATTTTTTTAAACATTGTTATAATTTATATTTGGCATCTTAATTTTTTTGGTTGTTTACAGGAAACTATGACTGTTATGGGGCTGCCTTCATGGCTACACTGGGTTGCCTGGTTTATTAAGCAATTTTCATTTCTTTTTATATCAGTAATTCTTATGGTAATTCTATTCAAGGTAAGGTATATATGAATTTTATCAATAACCATAGGTTAGCTTTCTCGTATTTAACCACTTTTTTCTCGTTAACTATTTACATGTAATGCTTTTTGTAAGATCAGCATAGTCTTATTATATTTGTAAATTATGATTAAATTGCTATTTATTATTTTAGATGACCATAGCATTATTTAATTTAGTTAATAAAAATACTTTTAGACCCCATTCAACTCAACAGCAGCAGGCGATAAATATGCTGTCCTAACATTCACACCATGGCCAGTACTGCTGTTTTTTATGCTGCTGTTTGTGATATCTTCACTGGCTTTTTGTTTTATGGTCAGTGTTTTCTTCTCAAGAGGTATGTTATTTTTTCGCAGCCTGTTTTACTGTGATGCCATGTGACTAATTGATCTCAATTACATTGATAAGTACACATGTCGCTCTGTGCAATGACACAATTTATGTTTACAGCAAATACCGCCGCGTCATTTATGGGGCTCGCGTGGTTTTCGACCTACTCTGTGTTCATGCTCACTCAGGTCTTGTACGAAGATATCAGTCTAACTACCAAACTACTGTTGAGTTTAATATCAAATACGGCAATGGGATATGCCTTCCAAATGATAATCATTTGCGAGGGCACCTCAAGAGGTAAACTGCAACTTTTTAAATTTCAACATACCGCACATTTTTTTCAAAAAATTTTATTTCAAATGTCTTGAAACAGATTAAAAAAATACAGATTAGATTTTTGCCATAACTATTTTCGTAACCGTAAAAATTGGATAAAAAATGCAATAAAAATATTTTTTCTTCCAAATATGGCCTTACATTATCCATGTGTCAACTTCAATAGATTTTGTAGCTTGGCCCGTTATTGTATTCAAATTCTGGCCTCGATTTTGGTCTCTTTGTTAATGACTATAGAAAATTCAATGATCCGCATACATAACATTTTTAACAATCAGAGTATATTACTCTTTTTCATTCTCATATCGTGACTATGTATTTCAAGGGCTTGACGAAATCTAGCTTTAATTAGGTGATCCTTAGGATCGTAAAAATGGAGAAATGGATCGCCGATAGGTATCTAGACTATTGTTGTAAAAAAAACAGCTTATTTTTCTCAATACATCTATTGTGACCATAATGACCCAAGCTAGCGAAACGTTAATAAAATTTGGAATAAAACGAAAAAAAAGGTCTAAGAAAAAGCTGTTATTTGCAACTAGTCATGTTTCTATGGGAATAAATCTATTCCCATAGAAACATGACTATTTAACTGGGCCAGGAAAACGAGTGCCTTATCCTGCGCGACTTAAGAATTTTAACCTTATGAAGTTATCCGACAGGAGAACAATACAAGACATGTTGTTCTTGTATAAGCTGTTGAACAATTTATTTGATAACCCAGAGTTACTTAGTCGTATTTCCTTTCACGTTCCTTCCCGTTTGCCGCGCCAACTAAAATCTATCCTCACTCATAAATCATACAAATCTAACTTGGGTCACCATTCTATAATTCCCAGATTGTGCAGACTATTAGATTTTTTTACAAATAAAGATAGTTACATAGATATTTTTCACGACAAATTATCAGTATTTAAATCGAAAATTGTCAGGGTATTAAATCCAATTAGCGCCGTAGACGTCTAACATTCGGTCTTTTGTGTACATATCTATGTCGCATCACTTATAATATGTAGTAATAGTTTAGTAATTTTTTCATTATATTTTAAGTAGCATTGTCGTGTTAGTTATATTGTTTCCTAGTTTTTTTCCAGTGTTTCTTTTATTGTTTTATAATACTGTTTAAGCACCTATACTCTGAGTATGCAGTGTGTGTCTGTAATTGAAATCGCATGTTGTTCTTAACCTATGTTCATCTTGTATGCTATTTCTAAAACATGTAATTTTGAAGATAGACCTTAATAAATAAATAAATATATTTAAGGATAAAAAAAATGGTACACAACATTAACTAATGAAACTTTCCGGTATTCTTTACAAGTAATGTAATTATTTCATGACGAACTCACTCAGATATGCACGGTCATAGCATCGTGACGTGCACATGTACAATTATACTGTCTATTAACTTCTTTTGTTTTATTCAATAGTGTAATATCGGAATTAATATGAAAACTTAAATTCAGTTCTTCTGAAACCTGTAAGATCGAAATGCAAGGTATCATATGAGAAAATTGAAGTCATGATTTTCATCGGAATTCCTCGATCATGTCTGAGAATATTCGGAACAAACTTTCAGACAAACACAGGCAATAATTCTAAAAACTGTTATTCATGATTATGCTTCGCATCAATAACAATTCTTCGTCTTAAGTTTTGGCATTTATATTGAAATCATCGAGACAGAGACTTTTTGACAAGGCTTATTCACTGTACAATCCTATCATGAAGAGGCTTTGTACAAACAATTGTACGAGGAAAAACATCCGAAATATTCATTTAAAGGTCAAACATACTTGCTTTGAGCGGGAATTGACCCCGCGGCCCCGCAATGTTGAAGTTCATTGTTTGGCAACGGGATCGCACGGGATGGCACACCGATTCATCAAGAATATCTTTTATTGGCATTAATATTAAAGTTCATTCTAGTTAGTGTCTTTATTGATTTGTTCCATTATATTATACTTATATGAAAAGTCTCCATGTGTAAACTCGAAAAAGTTTTATTTCGAACTTCCCACTGTTTACGCCATTACCTATTATAATGCAATATTTTAATTTTATCAAAAATACTAAATGATATTGCCACTGTAGAAACATTTATAATTGGACTTATTTAACTCTGTATTTTTCCATGTCATTTTCCATCGTTCCCGTTATTTTTTATTTTTTAAATCTCTCATAGCAAGATGCAAACAGATAAGAAGAAATTGGGATGATAATAGCCCTTATTAAATAAAATACTTTATTAATCAGAATCATATCCGAAATATTTTAAAAAAAATCATATTTTGTTTCCACGAATTCATCATTTTGATTTTTTAATAATTTTCATGTACCCAATGACACTCGCGTAATCAAGACAAAATGTGAGCCGTTTAGTAGTTACGAATGATGAGATCAATAACCTCGTAGAATCGATGAATCGCGGATATCGTCAGATTCTAAATCATCGCTGCATTTTTTATTAAAACAAGCTTCTACCAATTTTTTACAGTACTTTTTTTTTAATAACTCGTTCTATAATTTTATTGTTTTTTTTTTTTATTAAAAGACCCAAAAATTACTTATATAGTTTTTCAATTTATTAATCATTACGTTTATAAATAATCCACTTAATGTATCTGATAGCCGAAAAAGCACCGCCGTGTCGTGTGTTTACATTCTTACATACAGGCCATACTAACCATACCTTTTTGGCTTCGGAGCAGTCGGGTAAAAAATACCTTTTGCATCGCCAGGTCTGCAATGGAGCGAATTTTTCACATCGATATCCTACCACGACCAATTTCAACCCGGCCATGTTGTCCTCATGTTGATATTGGACACGATACTCTACATGCTGATTGCGATGTACGTGGAGAAGATCAGGCCCGGCCTTTACGGGGTGCCATTGCCTTGGTATTTTCTATTCACGAAGAGTTTTTGGTTCCCCAACAAGAAAAAACTGCCAGTGAGTGCCTTTTTGTCCGTAATTTTTTTTTTTTTTTTTTTCAAAGTATTAATGTGTTCTATCCTACCTTAATAATGTATGCAGATTTCGCTTATTTTTGTGAGATATGGTGCATTCGGAGCTATAACTACATAGTACTTTTGCTATTTCCACATAAAATTTTAGTAACAGAACAACTATTTATAACTGGTAATTTGAGTCCATCAACTGTAAAAATATAAATACATAAATTGACTTCATAAAGAATTAAGTCACTCACTGTCTTTGTTTTTACAGTATTTATCGTCTTAAAATTAACTTTTTAAAAACAGCATTTATTTTATTCTTGTTAATATAAAAAGTACTAAAATATGAATAATTTAAACCTGATAAGAAAAATATCTTGAGATAGGTACCTAAATTGCAACCCGATAATTAACCATATTCGTCTACGTCACAATAGTACCATATCGTAAGTAGGTACATACTATTAGACATTTTTAATAAAGCTTTACACCTTGTATTAAATTTTTGCGTTTGTATCACAAACCCCATTTTTTCTAAAAAAAAATAAAAGCGTGTTAAAACATTGCAATGGAACATTAAAGAACATTAAGCATAATTACAACTTCATTATTTTTCTTTTGCAATCACAATGTCACTTAAATAGTTGTCCTTTGTGGGAATCGAATACACGGCCGCCAGCGCAGTAACCAATACCTTGGCAGCTGCGCCACTGAATCATCAGAATAATCTTAGGTTGATCAGAATAATCTTACGGTGGTAGGGCCACGCAGCAGCCTCGGCTGTTGCACGAACGGGCAGGCTCGGTTTTCAGGCAGGTTTCGTCTGGTGAGTGAGGTGGCCGCAGCCCAATTTTCAAAAGGTTGTCAACGCTTGTGCAACCCTCGGGTATAGTAGATGTTTATGGGCGGCGGTATTCACTTAACATCAGGTGAACGGTCTGCTCGCTTTGCAACTTTTCACATAAAAAAAGCAGAGCGCAGAGCATTAAAATAATAACCCAAAAATATGTCTTGTAGGGATAACTAAGACGGATGGTGTCGATAAAGAATATAACGATGCTCTACTGCAAGTTGTTCACGACGAGGAACCGAAGGGAGCACCGATGGGCATCTGTATAGAGGTTGGTCTTAAAACTTCCAAACGAACATTATTTCAGGGCTGGTACAACAAGAAACATATATGGTTGTCACTCGGCTGTTTTTCTAGCAATTAACCAATGCTTCTAACAAAAATAAAAATAAAGTAACAGTATAAATATTTCCCATAAATATTTCCGCGTGATACGTCAGTACTTAAATATGCAATAAACAATTTTATTGGTGCTGGCACCAGGATTTGAACTCGGGCTACTCTAGTATATTGAATTAAAAGCCGGACACTGAGGAACACGTCTCGTAATAAACAATAATACTGCAGGAAATTAACCAACAGGCAGTATGATAAAAAACCAGCTCAGTGCGAGTTGGACTGGCGCACGAAGGGTTCCGTACCATTATCTATAAAAATGGCAAAAAATCATGTCTCAACAGTCTCATACAACATGGGAGCCGTACTTAAATATTTTTTTTCTGTTTGTGTGTTTATAGTATTTGTTGTTACCTAAAACATATATATATATATATAATGTAGCAGCAGAAATATATAATCTATGAAAATTTCAACTGTCTAACTATAACGGTTCATGAGATACAGCCCGGTGACAGACGGACAGACAGACAGACAGCGGAGTCTTAGTAATAGGGTTGCGTTTTACCCTTTGAGTATGGAACCCTAAAAATCAACCTTATCTAATGACGTAGTTTACAGGCAGATCCATTCCGCCTGCTTCTTTGTAATTAGAGGCGACCTTGGTAGTAGTAAAAACGTGTAATGCTAACTGGAGGTTTTTTCTTGGAAAAAAAATGTGATGTTAACTTAAGAATAATACGTACGGCTATGGATTTAGTTTTTGCAGTGTAAGCATAAAAATAAAATTGTATTATACTTCTATCTAACAGAAATCAAACTTAAATTGAAATCCTATTTAATTTGTATGTTAATCCAAATGAAAATAAAAATTATATGCAGGAATATTGTATCGATGTAAGAAATATAGGCATTGTGGCCCCTTTATACTATACTTATATTTTCCCTCATAGAATCTCACCAAAGTCTACAAAGGTCGAAAGAAAGCTGTCGACAACTTGAATCTCAGAATGTACGAGAATGAAATAACTGTGTTGCTAGGTCACAATGGAGCCGGAAAGACGACGACAATTTCTATGCTCACAGGTAACATTTCTTTCACGGCTTCAATGCCCCTAACAAATTTTTCGAGCTTTTTCCAATAAAACCCCGACAAACGTGCTTACGTTTATGCACAAAAGCGTTGTTCCATCCTTTTAATGTTCTAATCTATTCCTACTTACGGATAAAACAGTCATTACTCTTAAACATAGTGTCCTCGTAATATATAAAGCACCTAACCGGCGTCTTTATGTGTATTTATTACGTATTAAAATAAAGTACATCAAGTGTTTTAAGAATTATAGGTTGTCGTAAAAAGTTGTAAGGGTGTCTCAAGACGTCGTAAACTTTTTTCTGTTTACTAGTGAATAAATAGCTTCTACAAAAAGCGTAAAATATATTCCTTCAACATCTTAATAAATATAAAACTATATAAAATTAAAATTACATAAATTGTTATCGCGTTTGATTATTTTATTATATATAACATATATTACTATTACATTTAAAAACTTTTAAATGTTCTAGTAAAACCTATAAATATACACGCTACAAACACGTTATTTGATAATTAATTACGAAGTGTTATCATTTTTAGGTATGGTAACACCTTCGTCCGGTTCGGCCATAATAAACGGGTACAACATTGTGACGGAGACAGAACTAGCACGGAAGTCCCTCGGCATCTGTCCCCAGCACAACGTCCTGTTCCCCGACCTCACAGTGGCCGAGCACATAATATTTTATTCGCGCCTGAAAGGCGTCTCGAGGAATAAGTTACAAAACGAGGTCGATCACTTCGTCAAGTTGCTGGAGTTAGAAGAGAAGGTACGAGTTTTCCGCTTTAACAACAGTGTAATGCAAACGTTCGCCTAATTTGCGTTTTCCCTTAGGCAATATATAAAAGCTTTTTAACTGTGGTAGGGCCACGCAACAGACTTCGCTGTTGCACGAATGGGTAGGTCCGTCCGGGTAAGTACCACGACCTAACAGAAGACCAGCGTGAAGTGGAAATACTTTTGCGTTTCGTCTGGTGAGTGAGGTAGCCGGGGCCCACTTTAATTAAAGGTTACAACTACAACTACGTTAAAGAGCTACAACATTAGGCAATCTGCCAGATCTCTTGCTACCTTTTGACATTAAAAACTAATTTCTTACTTATTGTGTAATCTTCGAAAAGTATATATTATATTTTTTTTATTTATACTTAAAAACTGGCCAGTGCTCGGCCACTCCCACCTGATGGTGAGAGATGTATGATGATGATTGATAGATGCGAAGAAACAATGTACATGAAATACGTTGAGGTGTAACAATCAACCATTTAGCTTAGTGGTAGACGTGGGTTCTAATGCCGCAGTGGCGGAAAACTTTCCGTAAATTTTTTCTACAAAATTTAATGTAAGGGATGTAGTTACATTAATACGGTTCACTGGGCTTTGAAATACATGTGTACGTTTACTCTTTGTTATTAATTAAATATGGCCGAGCTGTCAGGCGTTACATTGCTTATGTCGTCAGTACTTTAACACTCTGCTTACTTTAAGGTTTCATGTAACGTTGCTGACTAATTGCCTGATCATTTTTAAACCGGTGGTGAAATTGTTTTTGTTCCTCTCATCAAACGAGATTATGTGGAATTTTGCTAGACTCTAAGTTACTTGCGATCAAAACGAAATGGTATCCTCATACAAGTTATTACAAACACCAAGTAATTCGGGTAACTAATATACCCACCCTCGCAGAAGGATGTGGTGTCGAAGAACCTGTCGGGCGGCCAAAAGCGTCGGCTGTCGGTCGGGGTTGCAATGTGCGGCTCATCCCGTGTGGTGCTGCTCGATGAACCCACCTCAGGTCTGGACCCGGCTGCGAGGAGGTCCTTGTGGGACTTACTACAGAAGGAGAAGAAAGGTAAAAGGCAGAGGCGCTAAACATTTTTATTCTTATAACTGATATTTTTGAAAAAGAGCAACTGTTGAGTTTCTTGCCAGTCTATTCTCAACAGAAACTGCTTTCCGAACAGGTGATACCTTACGAACGTATACACATATTATTTTTTATGTAAAATTCGACGATTCATAAGAACGCGCAAGCGTCTATTTGAATAAAGATATTTTGAATTTGATTCAATCAATGGTGATTTCTTCAGCGCCCTTAAACGTTTTCCCTTGTCTTTAATAAAATTTTAAATTTCAAGTTACTACTGAAAACTAACAATTCCTCGAATTAACAGTGTTATCGATTTTTTTAAACATAAATCTTATCGTTTATACGTGTTGTACTAAAATTCCAAAGTCCATCTTTTTTGAATGGCAAAAATTCTACAAAAATTCCTTCGGCCTTATAAAACATACTCTTGAATTAATAATCCCAGTTCTAAAAGGTATAAATACTTCGGCCTCCTTCCGCTGGCTAGTTAGCACATTGCATATGGCCGCTCCTTCAGCTTACTTATCCTCTGAGAAATCCTATATAGGACAATGTATAAGATTTTGAAACAAAATCCCAGAAAATGTTCAAAATGTATTAGTTCTAAAAGTGGTAAAGGAACATGTTTATTATAATATTAGTGATTATTTAAATGATAACACGCACTGAAAATGAATTGATCGCTCCAGGTTCATTCAAGTGGAGAATAATATCGTAATAATACTTTATTGTCAAATAATTGGAAAAAAAAACTTGTCCCGCTGAGTTTTCTTCCAAACTTTCACCGCTACTTTTGAGGTCAGTGGCTCTTCTTTTCCGAACCGGTAGAAGTATTATTTTACAATCAAAAAGGAAGTTTAATGAATGCTTCAAATATTGAATAAAAATGTCTGAATATAAATTGGAGCTATGTCGGTTACCTTTGTTTCTATCCACGCGCTTTTTCTGTCCACATGAAACTTATGTACGTAAAACGTCCATACAACACAGGATAATGTTATCCTACAGTAAGAGGGCAGTGTTTTCGAAGTGCAGTACAATACAATACACCTTCTAGGTCGTAGTGGTCGTTGGGAATTACTACGAAATCCCATCCACACAAAATAAAAAAGTATGTGTGTTCTTAAGTACCCACAAAAGAAAAATAACTAAAAATATTATCCCCTGTGCTAGTACTCTTTGTTTGTGAAAAAGACGTTAAAAGCAATTGATAACGGTTTAATTAAAACTGGGAGTTATAGGTAAATTTTAAAAAGTAATTATTGCTCGTGAAGTTGGTCTAACTTGGTTGCTTTGCAGCCGTATTCATCATGTCGGTTTTTGGCTGTCACCGCGCATCGTAAAAATTTTACTCTCACATTTCTTTCCATACGCGCCAAAAGAAGTGTGACTTAAAAAAAAATTATGCCTACGCGGATGTGTTCATTTCTTTGTTTTTTTTTTTTTAACACTGCCCTTTGGGATAACATTATCCTGTGTTGTAATGACGCTTTACAAACATAAATTTCACGCGGACAAACGCCCGGATGCGGAACAACTATCGGCGGGCCACACAAACAGTCGTCCCGTGTGGGAATCGAACCCGCGACCCCCGGCGCCGAAGCCGATACCTCGGCGGCTGCGTCGCAGAGTCACCTGCATACACGCAATGTCATGACGTTAATTTCACTCCGAAGGGCGCACGATGATAATGACGACCCATTTCATGGACGAGGCGGACGTGCTCGGCGATCGCATCGCCATTATGTCTGGCGGGCGCCTGCAGTGTGTCGGCACACCGTACTTCCTGAAGAAGCACTACGGCATCGGATACAAGATCACCATAGTGAAGAGGGACGATTGCAACGTAGACGAAGTGACCGCCTTCTTCAGGCGCCACGTGCACGACGTGAGGCAGAACACGAATATAGGTACGCGACAATACCGCCTCCAAACTGGAAGGGGGAATCACTGCATGGTATAAAACAAAGTCCCGCTGTCTGTCCCTATGTATGTATATCTTTGAAACTACGCAACGGATCTTGATGCGGTTTTTTTTACTAGATGGAGTGATTCAATAGGAAGGTTTATATGTATGTATAATACGTCGCTATTAATGTATATTAGGGCATACACTTCTATGAACTATTAAAAAAATCGTGATATATGAATCCAGCAAAATAGCAATAGTGATGTGTAATAAACGATGACATTGTTCAATCGTATTTTATTTATTATTTTTGTAAATCACTAAATACATGAGTATATGGGCCATTTTAATTTAATATATTCCAGCAACTATAGTAAAAATACCGATGCACACTATTGAAGTTATTAGCTGAAGCCGGTGAAGAAAAGTGCATATTTTATAAATAAGAAAAATATTTGGGAGGTGTCTGAAGTCTGCCAAACCGCATAGAGGTCGCGTGGTACACTATACCCAAATAGCCACTGAAAAGAGGTTGACTTTGTACCGGGCCCAGCAGAACATTTATATAGGTTGTTAAGCAAAAATATTATTTCCAAAGAAAAAAAGTACCCAGTTAAAGAAAGTTCTTTTACTAGGTACTTTTTCTTTGGAAATATTACCGTCCCTACTCGTGACGAAAACGCTTTACTGTGACAATTTCAGGCTCAGAGCTGACATACATCTTGCCCAATGAGCAGGTCAGTCGGTTCCCGGAGATGCTTAGGGAGTTCGAGGAGAGACGAGAGTCTATGCACGTTTCTAGCTACGGACTGTCGGTGACCAGCCTCGAGGAGGTTTTCATGAAGTGAGTACTACTAGTTTAACTGTGGTAGGGCCAGGGAACAGTCTTCGCTGTTGCACGAATGGGCAGGTCCGTACGCGTGAGTACCACGACCTCACAGAAGACCGGCGTGAAGTGGAAATGTTAAACTTCTGTATTTTGTCTGGAGAGGGAGTAACCGGAGCTGGCGGTATTATATTTTTCTACAACACCCGAGTGTTTTTCAGATGCATCTCCTCCTATTAAAAATACCACCAGCTCGCTTGCCACCTTCTCACATAAGCAAAAAAACTACCGAGAATTGCTGTTATATCATATTAATTATCTCTGTCTACTCACTTCCAGAGCTGGTGTCGAAGACAACTCCGAAGTGTCCGCCGTCAAAAGGAACAATTACGTCGGCGCGAACGATTGTGCAGTAGTCCCTATTGACTCTCATCAAAACAACATAGGTAACTTCGAACCTTATCGCCTCTGAATAAGGCTCAAAAACGACTGCGACTACCAATGCGTAATTAAAGAATTGAAAACGTTTTCAGGAAACGGCAGCAACGAGCCGATACAGAAAGTCAGAGGGCTGCGTTTACTGAGGAACCACATAAAAGCCATGTTCTTGAAGCTCGTCTACAACACGATGAGGAACAAACTCGCCGCCCTGATACAGTTCGTGACGCCCATAATTAACATCACCCTGTCTGTGATAATCGCGCGCTCGTGGAAGTTCATATCGCAGCTGCCGGCGTTAGAGCTGAGCCTTGAGAGCGGCTTTAAAGCGACGGAGACTTTAATGTCGCGGGGTGCCAATCTGACGGAGGGCAGTTTGGAGAACAAGGCGATGCTAGCCTACAAGGACTACTTCAAGTCGTCCACCAACCCAGGAATGACGATCAACGACTTGGGGACGATGAATTTGGGAAAGTTCTATATGAAATTGGTTAGTTTTCGCTTTGGCTGTATATGTATCACTCTATTTAGGTTTTTTTTTTTCTCTTTAATTAGGTATGTTTATTGTTTGTCCAAATGAATTCTTAATAAATGACTATTAATTGAGAAAATATCGGATAGTTAATGTTATATCTATCTAGTAATTATTTGTATTCATATCTTGTATTGATGTTGTTTTCACAAAAAATAAAACCTTTTTACAGAAGGCTTACTCCGCAGGGTAAGCAGACAGGGTCCCGCTTTACTATTTATCCTATCTTTCCAGTTGGATCAAACTGCACACGGTGTGCTATTGATTGATGCAATTTGATTAAAATCGGTTCAGTAGTTTAGGAGTATAGCGGACAAACAACGTGACACGTAATTTATATATATTAAGGTAACCTTCTCGAGACTACTAGCTCAAATAAACTTATTTGCAGTATTAACATAACATTCATTGTTTTTATGTGAATAATTGCCAAACGAGCAGACGGTTCGCCTGATGTTAAGTGAATACCGCCGCCCTTGGACATTGTTATTCCAGATGCGTTGACAGCCTTTTGAAAATTGGGCTCCGGCCACCTCACTAACCAGACGAAACGGGAAAGTAATATACTTCCACTTTACGCTGGTCTTGGTTACCTGTGAGGTCGTGGTACTTACCCGGACGAGCCTGCCCATACGTGCAACAGCCCAGGCTGCTGCGTGGCTCTACCACCGTGAAAGCACATTAAATAAAATTATGGTTTAATTTTTAAATAACAAATTATTACTTTCTTTCTTTATCAACAGTCACAGTCAGATCTAGCTCGGGTGCGGTATGAGACACTGGTTGGCGCTACGTTCGCCCCGCACCGGATAACCGGCTGGTTCAGCAACTACGGGTACCACGACTCTGCTATCTCGCTCGCTCTCGTGAACAACGCCATTATGCGCGCTCTGTCGCCCGGCAGCTCGTTAAGAATAATCAATCACCCGCTGCCGTATTCCATAGAAAACTTGGTCAGTACACTTACATATAAAAGCGTTTATTGTGCTAAATAGTGGAAATTTATAGGCATGTAAGAATTACCAATCTAGTTATATATATGCAGTTTGTAATGTTCAACCATTTCTAGGTTAGAGTGATGGCGTCAAGTGGCAGTATGGGATTTCAGTTCGCGTTTAACATTGGATTTTGTATGGCTTTTGTCACGTCCTTTCTTGTACTGTTTGTGGTGAAGGTAAGCGTTTCGTTGTATTTAATTTATTAGATTCCAATATAAGCATATTATATGATTTGTGCATGTCTGATGGATAAGTAGCAACGTGGAACGTTTCGCGACGAACGAAGGGTCTAATAATGGGAAAAGGGGAATAATAATGGGTTTACAAACACATTGACCGACCGCAGGCCGCACAAAACTGTTATAGACGTATTACAGTTGTTCTGTCTGTTCTGTCTGTCTGTGCAATGACAGTGACGTTGAATGCATGACTTAAATCCAAGAATAGATGAGCTTCAAGGTTGAATATGCTTTAAATTTCGTACAGCGTGACAACTCCTAGATTGTGTACGTTATACTTCCACGTGTACAATTGGATTGAGTGGTTTTGAGACTTTAGAGTTATTGGGGGCTAAGCGGAAAGCAACATCTGGGACTTTCAACAATTATAAAGCAGTAAAACTCCTTAATGGTGTATATCTTAGAGATCGCTTTTTAGCGATAAGACCGCCTTATTGTACCTTACTTTAAAGACTTATTTTATACTAATTTTACTAAATTCTTTGTGGTGTACAATAAAGTATATAATAATAAATAATAATCTTAGCTCCACGTGTACAGATCAGTATCAGATCGTGTGGTATTGTGACTTGATCTGGGTTAATCGGGGGTCCAGCGGGGGATGTTCAGAGTCTGGGTTGTGTGGTAGGAGCGTGTCGGTGGCGCGAAGTTGCTGCAGCGCATATCTGGCGTGCGGCCCGCCGTGATGTGGGGCGCCGCGCTGGTCTGGGACTGGCTGTGGCTGCTGATGGTCTACCTGTGCATCGTGCTCACACTCGCCTGCTTCCAGGAGAACACGCTCGCCACGCCCGAAGAGCTAGGTGATTGCGAACTTTGGTCCGATAGAAAAGCCCCCTTTCCGAAGGTATTGAAGTGTTGACGCTGCGTGTTCCGCCCGTTAAAGGTAACCAAAGTCGTATAGTAAAAGTCCTGTAACACTTCTGGTTTGTCCCGAACACGTCTCTACTAGCATTACCAATCATTTTATTCACAACTAGCTGCCCGGACAGACCTCGTTCTTTTTTTTTTTTCCTTTAGCATTAAAACCTTCCGTGGACCTTAAAGAACATACCAAAAAAAAATTAGCCTCAATACCTATATGGTCAATTTGAAATAATTTCTTTGCTGGAGTATATTGAATTAAAAGTGAGCGTCTGGTCGTTAGAAAGAGCGATCAGTTGTTAGAAATTATTTTATTTTCGTTTAACAGGGCGGGTGCTTTTAGTGTTGATGGTGTTTTCTTTGGCGACCATACCGATGCACTATTTGGCGTCTTTCTATTTCGAGGCCGCTGCCACCGGTTTCTCGAAAATGTGTTTCATGAATATATTCTGCGGTGAGTTTTGTTCGCTTTTTGTCAGCTTTAAGAGCGCAGGTGATATTAAGCTAATCACTTTTTTGTCACTGATCGCCTCGTAGGATGTATGCCGTTCCTGATAACCGAAGTGCTGAGGTTACCAGAAGTGGGCAGCCCATACTACGCCCATATATTCGATTGGATATTCTCCCCGCTGCCAATTTACTGCATCAGTCGGAGTTTCAGGTAAGAAATGTACTGGCAATATTAATTCTCATTTATTCCTTCTAGCTTAATCATATTTATAATCATGTTAATACTAGCTATATTGAATACATAAGCATGACGTCATAAAATCCGTAAAATAGTTTTCTTTTACCATTAATATAGCTCTTTTGTGTAGTATTGTCACATGTCTCGAATAATTTTGTACTCAATAACTTTACATAAGTACATTGAGATACAACTCCTTATCTCAACACTCCATAATTGAACGTAAACAATAAAGGTTTTATTTTATTGTATGTACTTGACCACATATTCTATCCAACTTATCTTTCCGCTATTCATCGTCATATAAACATATAACTATGGAGAATCTGATATTTAACGGTGGTAGGGCCACGCAGCAGCCTCGACTGTTGCACGAATGGGCTGGCTAGTCCGGGTCAGTACCACGACCTCACAGAAGACCGGCTTTAAGTGGGACTATGATACTTTCGCGTTTCGTCTGGTGAATGAGGTAGCCGGAGCCCAATTTTCAAAAGGCTGTCAACGCATCTACAACCCTCAGGTGTAGCGGATGTCCATGGGCGGCGGTATTCACTTAACATCAGGTGAACCGTCTGCTCGCTTGGCAACTTTTCACATAAAAAAAAGATATATTATAAAAAAGGGACCCAAAGTTCGCTTCTTGTATTAATGTATTTATTGCGTAATATATAACTATATAATATTATGTATATCATGACATTTCTTGTCTACAATATGAACATTTGAACACGATAGTACAGTTTCTCTATGGAGTTTCATGCTGCCAAGTCGTGAACTGTCAATTTTACAGTTTGAAATCGTTTTGCTCTACAAATAACGGGAAGACAGTACATAGTAATGGTTGTATCTTGTATATTTAAGAAAAGCATAACAAAAGAAAAATAACTAAAAATTTTATCCCCTGTACCAGTACTCTTTGTTTGAGAAAATGACATTAAATGCTATTGATAACGATTTAATTAAATAACTTATAATTGGACGTAAATGTCAATTATTAAGAATTATTGATATTACTTTATTATCCATATATTATTAGCCATAACCTGTAAAACCGTGAAGTAGGTTGCTAATGAACCATTTCGCCCTTTGGATGGCGTGTTTTTTTTGTTTTTTTCCAAACGCGACAAAAAGATTATAACTTAAATATAAAACTTCTTTTTTTATAATTTTAATACATTTATAATAATTTGCAATAATTAAGTATATAATAATAAGTTTTCTTCGCCAGGGACATGAGCGTTGCTTCGTTCTCAATGCTGGCGTGCGACAGCCTGTGCGAGCAATTTGTCAACATCGATAACTGCACTCGCCACACGATCTGCACACACCTCAACATCTCGGTTTGTTGTAGTAAGTTTTCGTGTACCAACCGCGTTTCATATAGGAATGTGTTATACTAGGTTAAATCGAGTGACTGTTACGCCTGTATCTGTTATTTATCAGTAACAGTGACCTGCAGTAACAGTGACAAATACCTGTTACAAAATAACAGCCTGTTATTTCATACTTTGTTGTGACAATTTATGTAGCTATTACTATACAGTAAAAGAGAAGTACGAACGTTACCATAGAGTAATATACTGTAGCGTCCGTACTTCTGTTTTTAACAAAGATACCTGTTATAATTACCTGTTACGATAAATACGCCTCACTCCTAGTTTCATAGCCAACTCGTTTACCGTGCTAAGGTAGATGACCGTAGTAGGGGTCGAGTATTGGCCTATTTTTTTGTTACAAAAACACAACTGTCGGCCGTTTTACTCTCTTCGAAGAGTAAGGTATCTCACCATACAATAGTTTGTCAAGCAGAAAATACCTTATGGCAATAAGTCCTCCTTTTTGATCCTGAATGTCGCATGAAGTGCGATAAAGATTTAATAAATGAAATAGAGCAGTGGATAGTTTTAATGTACCCGTCATCTCATAGTTATGTTAGTTTTTATGATTAAATATCGTAAGAAAAAGTCTTTATCCTTTAATATCGTACAGCTCAGTCTAGTGATCATGAAAGGTAAGAAAATATTAAGAAAACAAAATGATTTTTAATAGTAACTCACCAGATAAATTAGTAAAGGGAATAAAAAAATAACATTCACAACGACGATTTCAGGTAAAAAGACAAAATCTCAGCATGTTATGCCCCTTTTCAGAGTCAATATTGATAAATCCACAACAAAGTGTATTTTTCAGAATATTGAACTTAGTTTTTACCATCACCGCAATTTAAATGGGATCTTCATCGCTTTTCGTTGTAACATTAAACAGTAATTAATATTTACATCAATGATACGAAAGAGACGAAAGAAAGGCAAAACATATCTTTTGTTTCAGTTGAGGACGATCCGTTCCTGAAATGGAGCGAACCGGGCATTGGTCGGTATTTGTTTATGATGGCGCTAATGGGAATTATCACGTTCACAACGCTTTTGGTCAAAGAGTACGAGATTTTGAATAAGGTAATTAATTACTTCTTATTGTGTTTGGGTAGAACTGAATTTAGATACGCAATTGAAAATAAAATAATTATAGTATTCATACATATAGCTTTAGGTGAAATATGGCATTTCTCATCTGTATTGAATAGTAAAGACTTACAAATTTTGATGTGAATGAGTAATTAATTTTTTTAAACATTGCTTTGGTACTTAATTAAGTCATTGTACTATAATACTTAAAACTTACAGCTTTACATAATTCTTCTGTACATGTGAATGTGACTGAACTCCTCCTAAGCCGCTAGACCGATGTTGATGAAATTTTTTGTGTGTTCAAGTGGATCCGTGAATGGTTTAGATTCACAGTTCGGTACACTACAAAATGTTTTTTTCAATCAATTCTTTATTTATAACTTGTCGGAGACGTGTGTACAGTACGCTAGTTTACTTGTAGTTATAAAATACCAATAACAATATTTGTACCTCAGAGGTAAGAGCATTATGCGACAAAATACAAAAATGCGTGGAATGAATCATTGAATGCATTATTAGATTATGATGTCATATACGATTGAAAATTTTATTAATTAGGCGTCGTAGGACTTAATGCTTTATACTGTTGTGTTGAATTTGTTCTTGCGATTTTATTATATTATATATTATATTATATGCTTTATTGAAAACCATAAACATATATAATAAATGTTACAAAAATAACTTATAAGGTAGTAACAATAAGGCGGTCTTATCGCTAAAAAGCGATCTCTTCCAGACAACCTTGTGGCTAAAAGTACAATATTATGGACAACGGTAGGTGGTGCAAATGATAAACTTACATACGAAAATCTAAATAAACTGAACGAATATATTAGATTTTAATGGTGTAATCAAAAATAATTTGATGACTCCGTGGCGCAGTTGCACAAGGTATTGGCTTCGGTGTCGGGGGTCGTGGGTTCGATCCCCACAACTATATTTGTGTGACCTACAGATAGTTGTTTCGTATCTGGATGTTTGCCCAGGTGAAATGTTATATGATATATAAATGTTGTATGTTTGTAAATGTCCTTACAACACAGGATAATGTTATCCTAAAGTAAGGGCAATGTTAAAAAAATGAAGAAAAAAAATTGAAAAATGTGGAGCTACTATTGTATGCCTCTGAGGTACAGCTATAACTGAAAAATATCAGTGCCCAACGTTAAATATTATATTCCGTCCAGATATTCTACAAAGAGACGTCGCACCGTCCGCCAGAAGTGGACCCCGGGGAGGACAGCGACGTCGCCGCCGAGCGCGCCTTCGTCCACGGCCTCACGAGGCAGCAAATCGCACAGCAGAGTCTGGTCTGCAAGGACCTCACCAAGTACTACAAGGACTTCCTAGCCGTCAATCGCCTCACGTTTGGTAATTATATTCTAACAGGCAACACTGAGTACGGCCGCACATTATTGTAACGGATACGTATTTAATGCACACCTCAGTAAACCTCCCTCACCCTCCGCTTACTTATTCCCTTTCTAACTCTGCCTCTCTGTATCTATCTTCCTTTGTTTCTCTCGGTCATGAGCGAGTTTAATGTCCGAAGTCCGTCCTTCCCTTAAGTCCGTTGTCCAAAAACAAAAACGTCGTTCAGGCAGACATCACAAATAATACCGTCAAATAATAAGTTTATCAAATAAATTTACGTAATGTCTAAAATACTCGCGAGTTCCCAATGTTAGTAAATGTTAGCATAGTTATTACGTACCAACGCGTGGAGAGTACTGGGAGCGAGAGGGAATGCTATTCGGGCACAAGCGAGATGGCAACAGCCGTTCCCCTCGCGCGCCTCATAGTTTGGAACAACGTTATTTAGCGTATATACCTTGAACGTATTAACATTAACGATGCACCGCTGTGTGGGGCTAAATGAAAATAGTCCATGTTAATTATTACACACCAACGGAATGCGGTGAGAGCGAGGCAGAATGCGGTGAGAGCGAGACGGAATGCAGTGAGAACCAGACGGTATAAAGCGATCTCTCCGCTACAATTGAGCGCATGCGAACAGCGGTGCACCGCGGCGAGTGCTTCGGGCCGCTGTGCGTGAACAAATAGATCGTGTCCCCAATGCTAGTAATGAGCGAGCCGGAATGCGGTGCGAGCGAGACGGTATAAAGCGATCTCTCCGCTACAATTGAGCGCATGCGAACAGCGGTGCACCGCGGCGAGTGCTTCGGGCCGCTGTGCGTGAACAAATAGATCATGTCCCCAATGCTAGTAATGAGCGAGCCGGAATGCGGTGCGAGCGAGACGGTATAAAGCGTTCCTCCGATGAGCGCATGCGAACTCAAATTGATCTCTCCGCTACAATTGAGCGCATGCGAACAGCGGTGCACCGCGGCGAGTGCTTCGGGCCGCTGTGCGTGAACAAATAGATCGTGTCCCCAATGTTAGTAACGAGCGAGACGGAATGCGGTGCGAGCGAGACGGTATAAAGCGTTCCTCCCGCTACAATTGAGCGCATGCGAACAGCGGTGCACCGCGGCGAGTGCTTCGGGCTGCTGTGCGTGAACAAATAGATCGTGTCCCCAATGTTAGTAACGAGCGAGACGGTATAAAGCGTTCCTCCCGCTACAATTGAGCGCATGCGAACAGCGGTGCACCGCGGCGAGTGCTTCGGGCTGCTGGGCGTGAACGGCGCGGGCAAGACGAGCACCTTCCGCATGCTGACCGGCGACGCGCGGCTCTCCTGCGGCGACGCGCACCTTCACGGCCTCGCGATCAAGACGCAGCTGCAGCAGGTCTACCGCCACATAGGTGCCTGGAATTTATGTTTAACTACGCTCCTTATCCGACTTAAAAAAGGAGGTTTTCGATTCGGTTTGACTATGTGCTACTGTGGTACCACGCAGCAGCCTCGGCTGTTGCACGAATGGGCAGGCTCGTCCGGGTAAGTAATTAATTACCACGACCTCACAGAAGGACGGCATAAAGTGGAAGTATGAAAATTATTTTCACCCTGTTTTCGCGTAATTTTCGCCTGGTGAGTGAGGTGGCCGGAGCTCAATCTTCAAAAGGTTGTCAACGCATTTCATCAACCCTCGGGCGGCGGTATTCACTTAACATCAGGTGAACCGCCTGCTCGCTTTGCACGTAAAAAAAACGTAACAAAAACAAAAATCTCTATACATTTTCCATTTGATTTTGATGATTTCCCTGAAGTATCTCCGGATTCAAAGGTCCAATTCCAATGGTTTTCTTCCTTTTTTTACAGATTACAGATTTACAGATTACCTCCCATGTGGTGGGACATGGAGGTAAACTGGAAGCTTTGCATTGGGTTAAATTTTCCATGTCCGTTTGAACCGTCTGCTTGCACGCCACCTTCTAATATAAAAAAAAGATCTAGTTCAAAATCCGAGTTGAGCGGGACTTTTTACTCATTGAAATGCCATTAGCTGACTTCATGTGAAGATGTGAATGAACATTAATGGCACGTTTTGTCAAAAAGACTAAGGGCAGTAATGTAATTTTTTTCCCAACAGGATACTGTCCCCAATTCGATGCATTGCTCGACAATTTGACGCCACGTGAGACCCTTAGAATTTTCTGCCTGCTGCGCGGCATTCCCGTGCAAGTGGGTTCCGCTAGGGCGCTGCATCTCGCCGGTGTGCTCGGCTTTACGAAACACTACGATAAAAAGGCAAGTCGGATTTTGAAAAATTTTAATTTTGCATAATGAAATATTTTTGTTTCATTTTATTTTTAACTCCGCTACTGTAAGAAAACATCCTCGATCCGTTACAATCATATGTGCGTGACACAATGACGTAGCTCGGGTGTGAATCGAAGCCCGCGACACGTGACGCCAAAGACCTATCGCTGTGCAATTGCGGCATACAGTCCAACTACAATACAATACCGATTTACACCATTTCGTGATTTTTTTTTTTGCTGCATAATTGCAAATCGTGTCTTTCCCTGGATTTGGAAAATATGTATGTTATTTTTTCTTAAAGCGAAATTTAGAAATAATTTCGTTTCTGTTCAGATAAAAAAGTAATAATCGGTTGCTGTTTAAAATAATGATCAACATACTCCTTCAATTGGTCAATTGTTCGTCTATTTGTTAGGTGCACGAATGCAGCGGCGGTACGAAAAGGAAAATAAGCACAGCGCTGGCGCTGCTCGGCGATTCACCGCTAGTGTTCCTCGACGAGCCCACCACAGGTACTGCAAACACCTTCATCATGCGAACATCGTTCGTACTCGGTTTTAGTTTATTTTTAGCTACGAGGCATCGATTATTGAGTGCGACGGTACATTCGAATATCGTTGTTTATCAGTTGTACTCTACCTCTCGCTAAGTGACATCGATATTTAAGCGCGACTGTATCAGCGGAGAATCCTCGCTCAGGCGCTTCTTAATTTCCTCATTCGAACGTCGTTGTTATTCAGTCTCACTCCAATTCTAGCAAAGTGATGTCGATATTTGAGCGCGACTGTACATAAGCGGAGAATCCTCGCTCAGGCGCTTCTTAATTTCCTCATTCGAACATCGTTGTTATTCAGTCTCACTCCAATTCTAGCAAAGTGATGTCGATATTTGAGCGCGACTGAACATAAGCGGAGAATCCTCGCTCAGGCGCTTCTTAATTTCCTCATACGAACATCGTTGTTATTCAGTCTCACTCCAATTCTAGCAAAGTGATGTCGATATTTGAGCGCGACTGTACATAAGCGGAGAATCCTCGCTCAGGCGCTTCTTAATTTCCTCATTCGAACATCGTTGTTATTCAGTCTCACTCCAATTCTAGCAAAGTGATGTCGATATTTGAGCGCGACTGTACATGAGCGGAGAATTCCCAACTTTTCGAGTCTCTCGCCAACTGTACCGCGCCCGTGCAGGGATGGACCCGGCCTCGAAGCGGCTGGTGTGGTCGTGCGTGAGCGAGGCGGCGGCGTCGGGCCGCAGCGTGGTGCTCACGTCGCACAGCATGGAGGAGTGCGAGGCGCTCTGCTCGCGGCTCACCGTCATGGTGAATGGGCGGCTGCACTGCCTGGGGCCGCTGCAGCACCTCAAGACCAAGTTCTCCCAGGGTACGGTCCTTCCGTTTGTTTTGCTACGCGGCGGCTAGGTAGGCCAGTGTAACGAGAGCAAGTTAACCAAAGGCACGATACTTGTGTCTGATTTGCTACGCGGCGGCTAGGTGGCCGGAGATGACGAGGCCAGTGTAACGACAGCAAGTTAACCAAAGGTACGATACTTGTGTCGATTTGGTACGCGGTGCCTTTCTGCCTGGAGGTGACGCGGCCAGTGCAATGAACCAAGAGCAAGTTAACCCAAAGTACTATTCTTGTGTCTGAACTGCTACGCGTCGCGGGACATACATACGACCCGGCGCTTAAGACGCTGTATGCAGTAAAAATAGGTTTTTAAAAAAAATTTTTAGCACAATCTATACACTTTATAACAGCAAAAAAAATATATGTTAGTCTTGATCTAACATTCTAATGGAGCATTGTTTTCAAAACAAATTCTCGATATATAAAAATTCATTAAAATTAATTCGAACGCAACAAACGAAACAGCGTTGTTTCGGTTTTCTTCCATTTCCAAACGTTGAACAGAGAGCGGTGAGGCGCGTTGCTAGAATGTCATTTACTACGCACATTAATAAAGTTCGTAATAGAGCCGCGTTCGTCTCCGGCCGGCTACACAATTTAACTAAAGCTAAAAGTAAAATGCCCTTAAGGCACAAATTATTATTATATAAGTCCTGCGTACGACCTCTACGCATGCATGATCTTCGCCGACACGCACCCTACTCGCTTGTACAAGCTGCAAATAGTACAAAATAAGTTCATCCGCCGTGCAACCGGTGCGCAGCGGTATCAACGCACGTCGATCTCCACAACGATTGCAGACTCCCGACGATTCGCGAATATTTTAAAGACCTGACCAAACGGTTCTTCGATAGAGCCGAACATCATCCCAACCCTCTTGTGGTAAGCGCAGCAAATTACCAACCCGACACAAACGCGAACGTCAACAAGCGTCGCCCGCGAAACGTCCTCATCGACCCTGTCGAGGAAGGGGACTTAGATACGCCGGACCCACCGCCGGGGGTCCCGCCGGATAACACTACACCCACAGCTAGTGTACCAACAAACACAATAGTTCGCCCTCGCCTCCGAGCACGGCGAGACCAACACAACGCGTACACAAGGTACACCCGCGTTCCAGGGCGGTTCTCACCGCCCCCAGCCACCGATTAGCTAATTGCACAGTCGACGGCCATCGGGGTCTCGGTCCGCACCGCAACTTCGATGGCCCTTAGATGACATGTCGTAGTTAAACGCACGCATGAGCACATGCGCGGCCCTACCCACAGCGGAGGGCCCAAACCCGTGGGTTCTGGCTAGCCCACCGGTTCTGCGTCAGATGAAGCTTTAATGGTCTCGGGACTGAAAGCAAAAACATCAGTTAATACAAGATACAAGCGTTGCTAGATGGACCTATACCGCTCGTCCTCCGTTCACCGTTAAGAAATATGTTCCTTATTTATTTAATTTTATTAGATCGTACATAAGATAGTATTTTCACATATTTCGTATTTTTAATTATTTGTATGTATTAACAACTAAAGCGTAAATTCAATATCTTGTGATTGATGAGGCTTATCAGTCCTATACATACAGTGGACCATCATTCTATATTGGTGGAAGGGAGTCAAGGGATTGGATTCAAATCCCTACATTTCTTTGTTATATTTATGGTCTTTTTTTTGTAAATATTTATTTAAATTTAATTTTTGTTGATTTTTTATTTTTATAAATAATTCCAACGAAATATTATTGTACTTTTTGAACGTAGAACGCAACAATTGGAGAACAATTTATCGGTTGATAAACCAACTTTTCATTATTTCAAATTTTTAACAAGTCTTATATTGCATATTGTTATTAATTTTTTTTATTAAAATATTTAATTTTTAACCCTAAAACGAAAATTATTTTTTTATGAACACGAAAAATAATTGTTTTATAATTTTTCATTAATTTGTTTATTTTCCACATTTTATGAAATAAATACAAAATAATTAATTGATTTACAGATTTAAAAATTAAAATTGGAAAAAGATATACCACTCAATAAGGTTTGAACTTGGGACCCCCGTAATTGTTCACCTACCCTGACGCTCGGACCAATAAATTCGATTCTATTTATAATAGTTGTCGTTTATCGATGTAAGGAATTTTATCGATAATTTTTTTAAATATCATTTCATTGAGGAATTTATATAAAGTAGTAAGTTTTTATCATTTAAAGAATAAATTAAAGGTATATAGTTTCAGAAAATATGTAATAAAAAAGTCGTATTCGTAATTACTGCCGTGGAGACTATGGAATTGCTTAAAATTTTTGTGACCATCTTAAATCAAAATAAATAATTAATCCTTTATTTATTGTTTTGTTTTAAGAAATGTCATTTTCCTTTATTAATTTATTTGACCTTAAGATGTATTTTTAATCAATTCTAATCAGTTTACTGATAATTTAAAATAATTAATAGGAAGATTTTCTGAAATTGTTGATTGCTTTCTCATACTTTATATTTGTTTGTTTATTACTATTCCTATAATATTATAAAAGTAAAATACAATCATGGTCTATAAAATATATTATTGGGACCATCTGTGTACATTTTCGATAGCCTTCAATGATACTATCGATAGTATCCTACGGCCCACCACTACACGCACACACTAGGAAATTAATTGACGAAACTCGCCCGCTGCGCCCCGCTAAGCGGGGTTATCCCTCCTCCGCTTCCTCATACTTCACCACCCAAATAGTTAAAAATTCACTGCGCACAGCGCCTTAAGCCAATGGCTTAACAACTGCGCCACAGAGTCGAGTTGTTTTAAATCATTACAAATTCTTTATTCGCAGGTTATACATTAATAGTTAAAGCAAAATCTGGTCCAGAGAGAGACAATAACATTGTCAGTATTAATCAGCATATACTAGATAATTTCAAAGAGGCAAAGCTAATGTGAGTATTAACATTCGTTAGTTTCTTATTTCACCATGTCTACACGTCACCAACGGGCTTTTATTGATCTTTCCAGTGAGACTTACTTAGGCATCAGTACGTACTACTTAAAGGACGCCGATTTGCCCTGGTGGCGTGTGTTCCACGTAATGGAGGAGTCGCGTCAGGAACTCCCAATCGAAGATTATTCCGTCTCGCAAACAACGCTAGAACAGGTTTTCCTCGGCTTTACCAGGATGCAAGGTAAAGAAGAGTAATGTATCAATCATCAAAGAAAATACGAAACTTTTGTTCATACTCATCATTTTGCTTTGTTTTTTCACGCAATTAAAAACGCCAATCATATCGATGTATTGCGTATAAAGATAATATTATACCATAATTCGTTATTATGTCTGTTTTGACAAATTTCATTGAAGAATCTCTCGCCTAGAATTCAAATACTCTTCCCTAAAGACAAAATGTCTCAACAGACAGACAGAATCCTTTTTTTGTAAGTGACTGAAGGCACGATTGTATCTATTATATTTTCTTAATCACAATCCGCTCGACTCATTTATTCGAATCTCTACACACTATGCAGTTAATTACATATAGTGTTTATGTGGAAAGTTTCTCTCGAAAGTTTTCTAGTACTTACAAACTTGACGTTTGTTATTTTATATTCGTGTTTAATGTTTAGACGTGTATTTGGCTGAATGTTTCTGAAAAGTGTTGCCGTGTTTTACAGTTTTATAACAAGATAACAATGAGACAAAAGTATATTCGCAAATTAATTCTGAAATAGGATTTTATTAAATGTACACTATGAAAAGCAAAACGCATGTTCACAACCTGATAAACTTGAAAAATTTCATGAGTATTTTAATAAAGTGTTTATAAAACGATTTAAATTAGAAAATAATTCTCAAGAGATCTGACCTTCTTGTAATTTTATCACGTTTTGAAACACTTATCGAGCTATATTTGTCAAGCCATCGAAGCTAACTTTCCAAGACTGAAAGTGCAATTTGCCTATGAGACAAAAAAATGTTTTATTCTCCGTTTTACAAGGCTATATAAGTATCTGAACATAACAACTATGATAAATCAAGTTTATTTATTTATTTATTTAAGTATTAAAAATCAGTATATAAAAACGATTGTAACATTGTACTTATTTCAATAGCAAAAATATTATGGTGCTTTACGACTGTGTGCTTAGGAAAATGTAAGTAGTTTTAATTAGTAGTTTGCAACTTTATATGTTTACTAAATGTACTAATAAATGTTTGCATGACCATTAGTTAGCCAATGAATTTGTATAATGATTTTTCGTGCGTACTTAAGTATTGGCGTATATTTTTATGCATATTCATCCGAACCGGACCAAAAATCGATAAAAGAAAAGTATTTTTATTTCAAATAGATTTATATTATTATAGAACTAATCATACGTATAAGTACGCAGTGAGAAATTCTTTGAGAAAATTATTTTTACGTAAATCAATTTTACAGTATTAGTATTATTTACAATGATCATTTACTTAATTAGTACAATTGATATCAAGCGCTTTAAGCACGGCTTAAGCATTTTCAGTATTTAACGTTAAGTACAATCAATTACTTAAATTTGTTTATGAAACATGAATATGGTCAAACTGCAAGTAGATCCTTTTGATAATTAATTTTAACGAGATCAATTCATGCGTAATTATATTTTCTAAAACAGAAGGGATGAATATAACTATTTGTCTTATTTTCAGCTAATATGAAAATATTTTCTAGGCATTAAACTCAAAATCAACTACGAATGCATTTTTATCAAATATATTACGTCCAGTTGTCTCATCAAGAGCAAACTATAATTTTGTAACAACAAAAGGATCACACTACCTCATTTTAAATAGGATTTCTTACTTTTTATTTGAATCCTTAGAATACTTTGTCGTGTTTTTAATTTACTAGACATTGTCACAAACGTTAAATTTTTATTATAAACTTACATCGATTGGAAGTGCTACTCCTCGTTACAACTTTTGTAAGTGTTTAATGACCGGTTCAATATATTTCTCCGGTTAAATCATCAAAAAAAACTTTAATTTTGATGAAAAGAAAGTACAGCTTAACATGCTTGAAATGTTTTAAAGAACACATGAAAATGTTAAAATATTCCATGTAATCTTCGTATAACAACCATGTTCATGTTCGAATAACGTTATTTTAACTGCATCTACTTAGTACAATATATCAGTGTCATCGATCGATATGGATAAAGGTCGCGCAAATCTCAAATGTACCTTGAACGTAACAGAGTTAACCATCATAAAATTTCCAAATATCTGACAACGTTGTTCGCGACTGTACAGCACTCTAGCAGGAGCAGGAGCGAGATAGAAAGAAAGGAAAATACTCTTTCCCCGCACCGCATCTGTATTACACTGATGCCAATAAGCTGCGTATTTGGCGAACTTCAAGGCACATTTAAGCTTTGCATGTACAAAGTGGTTTTAACTTTTAATGATATAATAACAATTATATTGTGGAATCAATGTTTGTGATATGATTTGTGATCAAATAGTTTGCCGCTAATTGCCATTTGTAATTATTATATGTATTTATTTAAAGTGATATCCTGTAAGGCGTTACGTTCCTAAACTTTAATGGCTAAAGCCAATCGCAATTGTTGCCAGTGTTTCAATGAATATTTTTAATTACAGTATTATCACTCGATTACTCAATTATTTTGAATCTCGTATTTTATTGTGCACTTACACGTGTGTAAGATTTTATGATTCATAAGTTAAATTGTGGCTTTACATTTCATTGCTCCCAGTGAACTTATTGTCTGCTATAGACTATTTGTAAGAAAAGTGTTCGTACATATGTATCGTTGTAGGTTTACAAAATTTGTAATAAAAATATAGCACTTACCAAAATATTGTTTTATTTCATCATTGAAGCAAAAATGTTTATTAAATTAAACTATATACAAACTAAAACAATGGTCCCCATAAAATTAACGTGGATTACAGTAAAATTTTGAAGTTAGGGCATAATTATATACATCCATGTTTAATTCTTCAGTTCTTCAATATGTTAGTTGTTACTGTTGTTACTTTTAGTTGTTGTTATTTAATGTGGCCTGTAACATTCCCGAGTTAAAATATTGAAGACTATAATATAAAAAATTAAAGGGACCTTTTGTTCTATTAACAGATGTATAAGTCAAGTCATTTCGTGGATGCAGGATTCTAAAACGATTTATGACGTCATAACTTTTTTTAGAGAGATAGCAATTGGGCAAACAGGTCATTTACGTTTTAATATAGCTATTTTTACTGTTAGGGATGTTGACAATCATTGAATTGGTCACACAGTTACGGCACTCACCAGGCGATAAATAAAAATATAAATAATCTTTTACGCCTATCTTCTTTGACGATGTCGTATTTCCCCGTTTGAGCAGGCTAATTCGTGCAGCAGGAGTACAATAAGGTATAATTTTAATCTATTCATACGCATACCTTTAAGCAAACCCTTCAGATTTACCTATAAAAGTAATAAAAAAGATGACACGTATTTTCATTTGTTGCAATACTAACTTGCTCTGCATGAATTTATTTTAATATTCCCAAATTATAGAATTGTGAAATTATAAGCAACTATTTTATTTATTTATTTTAAAATTGCTTGTTTACACCCCAACTTAAAGTTAAAAAAAAAGGCAAACAATAAATAAAACCTTTCCAGTCAACCCTGGAAGTAGAGAAAACGTAGGTGCAAACAAAATCCCCTTCGGCCGGGTTCCCGCCTTGACGTGGCGGAGGGGCTTAGTAGCCGTGCTTGGTCACTCACGGCGAAGCTAAAAAGAACCCACACTGGGCCGGCCTGTGGTGTAAGGCCGCTCCGAGTGGGCTGCAGGAGACAGGTCGAGGGTGGTAGAGGTGGAGCCACTCTCCCTGTCTTCTGCTACCGAGGAGGAGTCGGTAAGGCCGGCCCGAGAGGGCCGCTCCGAGTGGGCTCATTGAGCCCACTCTGTATGCGTGCTGGAGGGTGCAGGGCACAGGTCGAGGGTGGTAGAGGTGGAGCCACTCTCCCTGTCTTCTGCTACCGAAGAGGAGTCGCGGGGAAAGAGGAGTGTCGGTATTGCATTGGTCGTGCTCCCTATCCTCCGTGACTCGGCGAGGCTGCACCGCTGATGCAGTGGTGGTGGGGCCGCCGGGGGAGAGGAGTGTCGGTATTGTGGTGCGCCGTTCTCCCTACCCTTCGCGGCCGAGACGTGGTGAGCGGCGGAGCCTCAGACCAGGTATGCCGCTGGGGGCTGGGAGACTTGATGCTTTTAGGCACGGGCTCTCCTAACTCCCATAGCCTCTGGTCAGCGAAGTTGGGGTAGTTCGTTGGCCGTGAAAAAAGGGGCCGAGTAGGAAGGCGTGCTGAATATTCCAGCGCGCCTTGCCTGGAGGAGAGGGGGTTGCTCCCCGGGAGGGGGCTGCTGAGGCGGCCAGCGCTGGCAGGGTCGCGGAAGTGTGCGAAAGCGTTCCCGTGGCCCTGCCGATAAGCGCTAATATCGTGGGGGTTTTAGTCGGCGCGAGTCCGACATAACCCGCTCTCGCCCCCGCGAGGGCGGGTATGCGTAGGCATTTCCCCCACGTTAAAAGGTGCAAACAAAATACGCGAAATTAATTTAAAATAAAACAATCAAATAAATTTGGATAGGGAAGGTAAATAAGCGAGTTGATGGAATTTTGCAACAATAATATATTAAAAAAAAAAGAATCGTTGCGAATTGGTGATATTATACAAGGACCAAAATATAATGTACAAAAATATAAGAAGAAGAAGAGTTAATAAGATATTTTTAAAACCAATAATATATACCTTATAAATTAATTGACAAACATTAATTATGTTTTCTTACTTATTCAAAGAATTTCAATATAAATATAAAAAAGAATACTTACATAGTTATTTCTTCACCAAACCTTCCTCTCAAAGTACAGTTCACAGTAGAGAGCATTTACATCCGATACTTTAGGCAAATATTCAGATACCTACTTCTAGGTTACAGTTGTTCTAATTCATACCATTTAAATGCACTTACAATGACGAAACGCTTTGATACATTATTTACTTGTATTGATTTGTTCTATTATTTCATTGAAAAAATAACCTCTCAAGTTAAATAATTAAATTTAAAGTTAATAAAGCAACTGGTAGACATCTATAGCGATAAAGATTGACCTTAATAAATACTAAAACGTGTTAAACGGTAAACCTCTACCTATACATCCCAACTGTGTAAATGTGATTTTATTACCTATTTTCGAACACAAATAAAAATTAATTTTAAAATCAAAAAATCTCGTTGGTGCACATCACTAGGAACACGTGAACAATCACGACTTCCGATACATAAACCCTTCCAATACATCCTATTAGGAATTTGCGAACAATACGATCATAGCAACTGAAACAACTTACTACGAAGGCGTTATAACGGCATCGTTCATTTGTCCTATTGGTCGTGCAAAGCCGTTACAAACAATAACCAAATTAAATATTTGTCATCGGACGAATTACATCTAATACCTGTAATGGTTTTTTAACATCGGTTGTTCACGATCAGGTGAAATGAGGTCAATAATAAACTAAGAGTCTTCCTGGAGACTCTGCTTTTGGTACTTAGTGAACTGTAAGAATATTTGCTCGAGCGTTGTCTGCGATATGCTATAATCTTCAACGTACAATTCTCGCTTAGCTCGTTCCATGGTGCCAAACATTTTTGACCAGGCAACTGTTTTGTCAGGTAGGTAATATGTAAGCAAACCCTGGTACTCTTCCCTAAAAAATAAAATGTATTTTTAATGTTACATACTTCTATAATGCGTAGGTGTATCTTAAACATAATTTTTGTTATTACTGTGTACATACAGTCAGTTTTTGAGTTTAAGAAACATGTTTTGTGTAAGCAAACAAAGTAGTGTATTCTCATTTTAATAATCAAACGTGTTTCGTACATTCCAACAAGTACATTTCTTAATTAACGAAAAACAAAACCGACTACAAATATCTCGCTGTGTTTAGGGGTTCCCTAAGTACCTCCGGAGCCAAAGATCCAATACCAATGAAATTAATATGGGACCACATGGGAAGCTCCAGCTTTCAAATAAAAAAAGAATCATCAAACTCGGTTCACTCGTCGAAAGTTTTGGTCAACAAACATAAAAAATACAGTCGAATTGAGATACTTGCAACAAGGCTTTTTTGTTACAGATATTTTCGAATAAATATCTCTTTTAGGAACAACATTATTCTTCATAACAGAAGAAATATATATAGCTTTTTTTACCTTCAAGCGGATGATTATTTTTTAAACGTAATACAGGCCGTACAAGAAAACAAATATTTGGGGAATGTAATGTCAGTTCGAAGTTATTATATTCCAGGTTCTTTACATTTTCTCAGTCAAAAACGTAACACATTCCATTTTTTAACCTATCTTTGTCAATTACTTTTTAACACACGCTACATTTTCAATAAACTTAGTGGTTACTTGGTTTACCATTTTATATCGTTTTTTACATAAAAAATAAAAAGTAAGATAAAAAGTTAAATGTACTTACATCAATTTCGGATTAGTGAAATTACAGTTGATGAAGTTTTTCATTTCCATTATAGTGTTGTCGTTCGGAGTTTCATCCTCATCTATTTTTATTTTTATCGTCAAAGTAAAACCTAAAAATTATAAAATTTGTCTTGTCATCATAAATAATTTTAAACTTTCACAGAAGTTATTTATGAACAAAGAAAACTATTTTTCTCATATTCGTTATTACTTTGACTGAACTGAGATGACATTGCTTGATGTTTTTGCATCCACCTTGCTAGGTGATAGCGATAAGATAATAACCTTCACTACTGACATATAAATTATTTCTGGGACAATCCTATATCATGTATATTTCTATATGTAGGCATAAATGTATAGTATATACCTATATGTACATATATACAAATATATATATATATATATATATATATATATATATATATATATATATATATATATATATATATATATATATATGCTAATCCGCTATAAAGAAAAGGCATGCACCATTTGCATCACGCTAACGAACAAGGAATCGTGTCAAGGCATCCATGAACTCCTATTTCACTCAAGTACTTCTATCCTTTGCATACACTTTATTTTTATGTCATAATAATCATATTTATATACAAAAGCGGAAATAATTGGGTTTTTGCCCCAGAATTCCTTCTTTCAATAAACTAACACGCAACTAAACTAACTAGCTGGAATTAAATATGTTTATTTGGATAATTCAGTCTTATATAAATTTTAAAAGATTATAAGTACAAAATTCGGGCGATAGGTACTTCCAAATCTCTGAATAAATAAGTAAATGATAAGTTATCAATATTATATCAAATCTGCTGATAGATTTGGTCAGTAGCGATAGGTATTTGATATTAGCTTCCATAATACTGAAGTCGGAATTCTAAAATCAATCTGTCGATAGAATATTGAAACCGGCCGTAAATAAACAGTCACGTTGGCAGCCAGTATTTACCTTCGGAAAACTTGTTCTTGAGGTGCTGCGGCGTGCCCAGGCATTGGAACCGCCCATTGACCATGATGGTGAGTCGCGAGCAGAGAGCCTCGCACTCCTCCATGCTATGCGAGGTCAGTACCACGCCTCGGCCGGCGCGTCTCGCCCCTTGAACTGCACGCCACACCTAAGACGAATTCAAAACACAAACTGTTCAATCAATTTAGATCCGCCACCATCGGAGTCATAGTGAAAGGACAAGTTAAACAGAATCAGAGCCATAGCTCAGTTTCCGTGCTCGCTTTTAGCTCAATACACTCTAGCAAGCTGAATTGAGGCACTAACAAAATTGATAATTTTAAGTGTTGACATATCACGTGCTCAGAGGTGAAGAAAAACACCGTTAGGAAGCCTGCATATTTTCGAATTAATACTAAAAAATATTTCGAAGATATGTAAGTCCGACAATTCGTAATGGGGCCCGCAAAGGAGGCTTTGCTTTTTACTTTTTCACACGTGATTTCGAAGCAAATTTAATGATGTTTGCAGTGGACTTGCAAGTCCCCTGACTGCTGGTGATATTAAACCTAACTAATTTTCTACACTTAAGGTAGCAGAGGTTCTTACGATTCTTCTCCATACAAGTCTAATAGGGCGAACCGGCGGTAATTTTTTGAATTTCAATAAGAGAATCTTAAAAATAATCTTAAAACAAGCCTATAGCGAATACAGAAATTTTGACTGATGAGTCAATTGAGGGCGATGTTGATTACCTGCCGCTTGGCCGCCGGATCCACGCCGGTCGTCGGCTCGTCCACGAACACCAGCCGCGTCTGGCCCAATAGGGCGATCGCCGTGCTGAGCTTGCGTTTGTTGCCGCCGGAATATTGGTGCACCTGAACGCAAACGTGACTGATTTATTTATTTATTTACCTTCCATTTGTTAACATTCCAAGAATGACGTCCGCAAGTTTATAAAGATATGGCGAATGTTTATAAACTTGTTAACGATAGATTTATTTTCGATATAACGATAAATTTTAAACGTTAGAGAAAAATCACTGATGAATTAATGCAAAAGCTGAATTCTCCGGTCGCTTATAGTTTTCGAGAAACTATAAGGATGAAAATATAACGTTCTTTTTTTGATGTTAAAAAGATGTATTTTAAGCAAGATAAATTTTATTGTTTATTTCAATAGCCTCGCGAATCACCCGTGGAAATATATGAACTACTAAAGCAATATGCAAAACCAATCAGTTCTAAAAATTGCGGCAGGGCCACGCGACAGCATCGGCTGTTACACGAATGGGCAGGTCCGTCCGAGTAAATATTACGACCTCACAGAAGACCGACGCGCAGTAGAAGTGTCATACTTCTGCGTTTTGTCTGGTGAGTGAGGTAGCCGAGACCCACTTATTTAAAGGGGGCAACGCATCTAACGGTTGCAGTCGGGTGTTGCAAATGTCTATGAGCGGTGGTTAACACTTAACCTCAGGCGAATCGCCAGCTCGCTTACCACCTTCTCACATAAAAAAAGATTCTGGAGTCTATAATATACTTAGACTATAACTTGTTATAAACTTCATAAAAATATAGACTTATACATATTTTTAATAACGAAAAACTAAACCGACTTCAAATATGTCGCTTTGTATTCATTTTATAATTGATTTTCAGGAGTTCCTTATGTTTACTTCAGTCGGAAGTTCAAAGGTAACAAACATAAAAAAAGAAATACAGTCCAATTGAGAACCTCCTCCATGTCTCCCGTGCGCGACTATGCATCGAAGTACTTACTGAAAAAGACTTAACGCTATCACATAACTAATCGTATTCGCAATGACCAATTTAATGCCAACATAATGAGGAATTATTTTTCTTTAATGTGCGATTTTTCTTTGGGCTTAGTTCATAACTATTATTCACGTACTCGTTTGTCCAAATGTTTCGTGAAACCGAGAGAATGGGCAAGCGCTTGAGCTCTTATGTCAGAGTTATCCGTAGGCAGCCCCCGGAACAAGGAAAACAGGTGCAACGTCTCCCGTCCTGTCAGCTCTTCGAATACCGCGTCAAACTGTGGACAGTAACCTGAAACGAAGAACATATAATGTACAATAGCCCATTTGAAACAAGTATATTAGGAAAGAAGCCAACGAGAGATATACAAAGAGGTGAAGAAAAGGTTCACCAGAGTCCACCCTTGACCATAAATTAAAAAAATCATCTTGAGTTTTAATGTTATACTAGCTAAAACCAGAAAAAAGTTTCTTGGTTGGTGTATTCACTTAATAATTAATAAAATAGGTGACATCCACAAGCAACTACGTGCAAACAATTTCGAACATTTTGTAAGCTACGGTACGGGCTTATTACAATGTTGAAGAATACATTGAGGAAAAGGTTATGTGGAAATGGCTCTTGCTCTGCACTTGCAAGTCCCCTGACTGCTGCTGATTTTATACCTAAATAATTTTGTACACTTATACAATAAATAAAAAAAGGAAGAGACCGCAAAATTTCTTGCCGATTCTGATCTGGACCGGTCTAGTTTACTGAACTAGTGGTTGTTTTTTTGCCTTTCAATATTTTCATTTTTTAGCTCCAGCAACTCAAACTTCATACTCATGTATTGCATTTGATTGAAGACAAATAACAAAATGGTATAGATAAAAACACACAAATAGACATTTCTAAATAACGTTACATTAATTTTTTTTACCAATGTTCTCGTAGACTTTAGTAATATCCTTCTGAACAGAGTAACCGCTCACAATCGCCTCGCCACTGGAGATCGCTTCGTCTCCCATAAGCATTTTGAAGGTTGTCGTCTTGCCGGCGCCGTTTATACCCAATAATCCGAAACATTCACCGTCACTTACGCCTAATAAAGATAACAATAGATTTAATTATAATTAAAAAGTATATGTGTATTTCACCAAAAATTACAAGTCGATTTTAGTAGAGATATGAGACATTCTCAATTACTTAGCTACAAACACTAATTTTACAAATTTAATCATGAGAAAACTTTTAGGACAATTCGTTGCCGGAAAGTTGTTTAAAATTTAATAAGGCTTGCAATTGGCTCTTTTAGTTTACCCCAAGATGATCACTGACGATGATGAAGACATGATTGTATCATTTAAATAATGAACAATTTGATTTGTTAGATACTGTTAGAAACAGCCTAATATTCACTCAGATGACTCCATGGCGCAGTTGCCAAGGATTTGGCTTTGGTGCCGGGGGTCGTCTGTTTGATTCTTGATTCCCACACCAGGCAACTATTTGTGTGACCCACAGATAATTTAGTTTCGGATCTGGCTAATTTATGTATGTTAAACGTGCCTATAGCACAAGATAATGTTTTAAAGTAAGAGAGCAATGTTCTTTCTGTTATGTGATAATGGCAAAGAAGCTGGTGGTACACCTGATGTTAAGTGCTAACCGCCGCCCATGGCACATTTTCAACACCCGTGGGGTTACAGATTCGTTGCCACCTCTTAATAAAGTGGGCCCCGGCTACCTCACTCACTAGACGAAACAGAAGTGTAACACTTCTACTTCACGCCGTTCTTTCTTGAGGTCGTGGCACTAGCCCTAGGCCGCGGTAGTCGTTGGGACTTCGCAACCCCCTTCCACACAAATACAAATACATTTTACACTACACTCACTGAAAGACACCTGGTTCACAGCTAGATGTTTTCCATAGTACTTGGAGAGGTTCTTGGCAACGAGGCCGTGTTGAGCGAGCGCGGATCCAGTCACCATGTTCACGTGCCGAGCCTCATCGGCGACGTCCTCATCCAACGAGCGCTCTTCCACCGGCGGCGGCCTCTTCTCGCGGTTGAATAACTGAAAAAAGATTAAGTCTTATTACAAAAAATATGCGTAAAACTGATATATGATTGTTACGGTACTAGATTTAGTACTAGAACTAAAACGTACGCTTATTACAAATCGTAGTCTGTTCAAAGACAAGTAAGGCCAAGGTTAATCCGTGGTTCAATCCATAGATAAAAACGGAATATGGCCATTCGTTCATTCATTCTTATCCTTTACTAAGCACACTGTGAATGCGTCAATAATTGTAAATTAGAAAGTCAAAATTACAAAACGATATTATGTGTTCACGTTTCAATCCATTGAACAGGTATAAATTATTAGTAGGGCCACGCAACAGTCTTCGCTGTTGCACGAATGGCAGGTCAGTCCGGGTAAGTAAGACCACAGAATATATAGTACTTCCACTTCACGCCGAGTCAAGTGGAAGTACTATACTTCTAATTTTCGTCTGATGAGTGAGGTAGCCGGGGTTCACTTTATAAGGAGGTAACTCATCTACGGGTGTTGCAAATTGCAAATTCAACAGATGCCGGTTCTCTTAAGTGAACCGCGTGCTCGCTTGTCACCTTTTCACATTAAATAAATTTATTTAGGAACATATTTTTTTTTAATTAATTACATTAAATACAACGTTTGACGCCCAACTAGCATGTCAAAGTTCCCGCGTGAATTTAAAATGTAATCGTCTGTTTTGAATAAGACCAATGGCCAAAATTAAATCATTGGTTTCTATGAGTGTTTGTGATTTATGTGCGGTTTTTAGTAGGGTTTTTCCTTTGCACTGATATAACGACGCCCTGATATAGTAGTCTAGCAATTTTCTTCTTTCTCGTGCCCTTATCGCGCCTAGGCGAGGAGGGCATAACATGTTATTGATGTTGTCAATAGTATTGGCTTAGTTTTTATGACCGGCCGCCAGCCTGACTTCAGCCCTCCTTTGGAATAAACACCCAGATCCAGCCTAATTATCTATTGGGCACACTAAAACATGTCCCGTGTGTGTATTGAGGTCGCTACCCCAGTGCGCAAGCCAATAGCTTAGGGACAGCGCCACTGAGTCATCCGAAACTTCCTGGTAATGCTTATAATCTGCTACTTATCAGTATTGGGAAATGGCATAATGTTACTTTTTAAGGGTAACGTGTTTTTAAGTTACTACAAAAAAAAACCTGCAACCTTGCACTACCCCTGAAATTTTGACCCGACGTGATTATTTATCTAAATATACTTTGCTGGCAATTATTTAAAGCCTTTAGCCCCACTTTTTAGAGATTATCTCGACTCAGCACAATAACTGCTGATAACGTAAACAGAATCAATGAAAGCGCTCACATTAAAAATTAAATCATAAAGCCACTTCTTCAGATAACTTTAAGGCGTCATTCCAAAATAAACATTTTTATCAACAAAAAACAAGATCGACTTCAAATATCTCACTCACTATACATATTTATTTCAGTTTTAAGTTCCTTGGAGTGCCTCCTGAGTCTAACGTACATTACAAATGAAATTTATATGGAACCACGTCGGGGATTAAACCGAACGCAATGCAAAAATAGGTGACAGCATTAATAAAAAAAAACGGAACTGAGAAACTGCCCCTTTTTTGAACTGTGTTGAAGTATCAGTAAGACGAAGGTTCGAATGCCGCATTGCCGAAAGTTTTTGTTCATTTATGTACAAAAAGTTACAATTTAAAAGTGTCTTGAAAAGTTTACAACCGCTAGTTTATTATAATTACCGTTAGGAAACTGGGTGTACGACACTAAAATGAAATGGAAAACTAAAATGGACACATCTTTCTAACTTTGGTAGTTTATATTACCTTTTGGATTATCTTGTATTCAATTGCCATCAGTAGAAGCCATAAAAACAGTCCTGATGCTATCATACACACTAAGTACCGAAGAATTCCCGGTCCCTCCCAGTCGAAGTAGGAGTTTTCTCTTACTAAAAATGAGAGCAATATTAATTCACTACACAAGATTCAAACACGAAGTCTGTGAAATGTTTATTATGTGTATTATAAAATTTGTAGGAACAAAGAGCAATAAGATTTTTATCTTCTTACGTTTTCAATATCTATCAGAGACCAAGCAAAATATACGCGACATTTTATAATTTATTTCTCGAATTCTTAGTTTATCTTATTGTATCATAAATTATATAAAACTTGCTTATTATCATAGTGTAAAGCATTCGTATAACAAATTATTAATGTGAATAGTTTTGCCCTACACTATCAACAAAGTTTTAAGTGAAGTTAAATTTAAGTTTATTAAAAAAAATTTTTTGCACGCTCCTATTTCATAATAGAAGAAAAATGGAGTTCGTAAATTTTGTGTCTGAATATGAAATCCCCCTCAGAGTATTACATTTACATTATTTTATAGAATATTAAGGTATTTCTCTTCTTTATTCTCGCTTGTCCTAAAAATAACAAATTCTCTAACCAAAAGCTTTTTGTATTAAAAAATTAGTTTATATTTCTCAGGGTTAATGAAGCTTTACATTAATTAAAAAAGTTTCTAATCCTTTATGTAGATTCGACTGTCGCCCATTGCAAGGCCTGTGCACGGTTGCGAGAAGTCAATGGATACAGTTGGCTCAGGATCGTGCTTCGTGGCGGTCTGTTGGGAGGCCTATGTTCAGCAGGGCTTCAAACAGGGTGAAGTGACGTGATGATGTATCAAAATATTAAAAATTTTATTTATTATTAAAAAATCATCGATTGATCAGGTACGCGGAAATCGATTTTCAGACACAAGGCAAAATGTATCAGTACAGTATTAAGTCAAGGGTTTAATTTACATTTCGCGCAGCACGATTCGCAGAGATGTTCCACCGAGAATTCGTTCATATTTTGCAATGTTGCTATATTAAGTAATATTTATGCACGTTTTAGTAAGTAATATTTTGTGTTAGGTATCAGAGAAAGTACACAATTATGTTAGAAATCATTTTCTTTTGAGGCATGTGTCGGAATGTTTCGGCACAGTTTAGTATTAAGTTATTGGTATTATATTTACCGCAGCATGACTCGGAAAACAGTTCGCAGAGACTTTCCATTGTACATTCATTCATGTTAGGCAATATCGCCATCAAATAATCGCAGCTTTCCAAACAAGTGTACTCGGTCAATCCGATTTGGTTTAAATTCCTATAAATTTTATAAAGAAAGTTCATTTATATTTATTTTATACAATTTTATAAAAAAATATACAAAAAAAGAATAATGTCTGTCTGTGTAAATATTAAAACAGTTTTATGTTATTCATCCATTACAATGTACGTTTGTGCAAAACTTTTTAAATTAACTAATGAGCCACCACAATCTACTGTTTTTTTTTCATTGGACAGTGATCAAGCGATTTGTAACAATTAAAAAGACATTTAAGCATAAAACAATGTACAGTGTATGACAAAGTTTAAAATGTTGTTTTTTTTAGACTGTGACATCAATGAAATTATTCATTACTTTTAAATTTAATTTAACCTTTGTTTAAGTCATTTCTTTTACCTGACGGCGGTTACGAGGCTATATAAAGGGAAAAATTGTAGAACTTGATCCATAATCTCTGCCACTTCCTTCGTATTCAACTGCGGTGCAGCCAATGCCTCTACGATTTGTGCACCCATCATGCCTGAAGATAATTTAGCAAATTCATAGCAGTCAACTGTTCCTTTTTACTTACTAAACCTTAGTCCTTTCATTACGCTGGTTCAAACTGAATATAACATTTATTTTCCATTATTTACCGTGAAAATTTGCCTCGGTGTTTTATATATTTTTATGTATACATACTTCGGAATGTGAACGAACACAATAACAACATAAGATTAAAACTAAGGGCCTTGTAGGTAAATTATACGTTTATATACAGGAACAGTTAATATATTAATAAAATTTTATATTACTCACATTTTTATAAAATTTGCTTAGGGTGCACTTACCGAATAAAACATTCATGAAAAACATTATCACGAAGCCTAAGGCCGGTCCGGAGAGAATGTGCGAGAAGAGATAGTGCAACGGCAGCATGGCCCCGCCATACAGCATCAAACACAGGTACAAACGGCCTGCACAAAACGTATTAAAAGTTCCTTTATTTTTTGAACTTTCTCCTGCCCTTATCCCACCTAGGTGGGGTCGGCACAGTATGTGAATCATGTTGTTAGTGGTATTTATTGGCTTATCAGATTCTCTATGTCCAGCCACCAGTAAGATTTCCAACCTCCTTGGAAACAAACACCAAGATCAGGAACAATTATCCGTAGGGAAAACAAATACTTTTCCTGTGTGGGAATCGAACCCATGACACCCAGCGCCGCAGCCATTGGCTAAGCAACTGTGCCACCGAGTCTCTAAATTAATGGCTTTAATCTTCTACCTCGTTCTACATTTACATATCTCTTCTACCATACTCTTTTCCCCAAGTTATAGTTTATAACGTTTTTTTTTTAATGTGCCAAAATGCCAAACGAACTGGCGGTTCACCTGACGGACATACGCAACACTCGTAGTGTTGCAGTTTTAATAAAGTGCGCCCAGGCTACCTCACTCGCCAGAGGAAACGCAGAACAACTTCTACTCCACGCCGGTTTTCTGTGAGTTCGTGGTACTAGCGGCAGACGAACCGGATAAATTAACTATTGAGTGGAGTTCCTTGAATGGCGTTAATCACTTACCATAAGGCGAACAACCAGCTCTAATGCCTTATATTGCCTTAAAAGAATAATACAAAAATAAAATGGTGATGAATTTACCTAGCTCGGCTACAGTGGATAGACCGATGACCTGGAAGGCCGCGCACGATATTATAACCGTAACCGAAATCAGAAGGAACCAGAACCAATCGAAAACCGCCGCAGCGCCCCACAACACCACTGGCTGAACTCCGGACGCTTTTTGCAGCAACTTTGCCCGAGAGACACGCTCCTAGAATGACAATTTGTTTTTATTATTAATGTAGTCCGATTGCTTGTTAAATTATTATTGTACGTCTACTTGTAGGCCAACAACCACTGCAACCTCTCAATTGTGTGAACACTTTGTGAGATGACTCTATGTGAATCAAATACACAACAAAAAACACGAATACAGATAAAAAAAAGCTGGATATCCAAATACTGCATGCCGATTACTTACTTTTAATCTTAATTACTATTTTCTTTTTTTAACACATGCTTTGTAACTTGCGTGTGTATGTATGTACGTATGTACTTAGATAAATAAATAAATAAATAATATAATTTAATATACTCGGTACGTTTTTCTTCGTTATCATTAAAAAATAAAGTTGCATACTATCAAGTGGAAATGAAAATCTAGTACAATTAAATAATGCAACTAAGACGTTAAACAATTACCTTAATATAGAACATGATGTAGGCGGCGCTTACAATTCCTAAACTATTTCCGAGGCTGCTAGAAATTTGCATTGATAGTAAGGTAACCATTAGTTGTAAATTCCCCTAAAAATATACACAAACAAAAATAATTATTAAATGAAAAATGTACACACGAAAATTTTCAAGATAGACGCGATCGACCTTTTTTTAAACAACAGCTTGATTGGTACCTACTGCTTATAAAACTAAATCGAATAAAGTAATTTATATTATTGAACTGATAATGTGTGGTTTATGTTGGATTCATCAGTCAATTTAAATCCATTCGATGATGCCTAAATTGTAAGTCAGATCGATCTGAGTAAACACCACCTTATACCTGGTCTCGATAGACAGCTTCGAGGGGATGATTAAACACGTTTATATTCGCTGCGGAGTTCCACCCCTTCAACATGGCCGAGTGTAGAGTCGCCAACGATGTGGCCACGTCGTGATAACCAAAATTACTGAACCACGCCGTAGCGGACTCGTCCGATATTGATGCACCAATCAACATTCGAACTCGATAAAACCCTCTCGTTATTGAGTTGTTCATCTGGGGGCATATGGAATAGAACACGCTTGTATAAGTTTACGAACGGAAGTTCGCTTTACTTAATTTTACTAATGACTTTCCTTCATATTATTTGAGATAATTATATATATATATAGTCAAAATTTTGTGTGAATATTCTATTAATGACTAACAAATAATTTATTAGTTAGTAAAAATCACTTTTTAAATAAAGGCTTTTTTGTGTTTTTCATGTATCAAGTAGTCAGAGGTGTTTAAAACCCAAACGTTAATGGCTTTTCTAAATGTTAGTGCTTCGAATATTTAAAGTGTGAAGACGTAAACAGAAAGCAGTAAAATAAATATTTATAGGTACCTTTCTACTACTGTATTGTAAGAGGCTGTGATTTATGTACTTTAAACTTAAACGTCACAATATTTATCTTGAAATAACTGATAAAATTTTGATGATTCATCAGTTCTAAGTGATCAAACTGATAATACAGTCGCAATATTAGATATGTGTGTGTATATTAGACATTATCTACATGCCTGTAATTTTTTTCGCTTACTCATATAACAGTAGATAGATAACTTTTTAATATTAGACACTAAACGTTAAAAATAAGGTATATGATTTACATTAAATTATTAATAACTCTATACTTTAAAGTATTTAGACAAAGTATGAAAAGATTGTCGCCGCTGTGGGAATCGAACCCACGTCTTCGGCATTCGCGCCCTGATGCTTTAACCACTAAGCTAAACGGGTAATTGCCACACTGACGAAAATCTTAACGTCTTTTATCTAAATTGTTTTTTAGCATTTGAAGCAATGATTGGCGCATCCATTGTTATATCCTTTCCAATCTTTTGTGCAGATCGCAATTTATTTATTATCGATCGCAATTTATTAAAATATTAAGTGCAGAGATTAACAAAAATGTATAAATATCTCTGTATTTGTTAAAATTAGTAAATTCCTAAAAACGATTAAATGAAAAACCGAAAGAGGCAATTGTATTAAAGAATGTTCATTATTTTTTATATTTACAGTAAACATGCACATAATTTTTTACTTTATTCATAACTTTTATTCTATTGGGCAATTTTTTAATAACCATATAACAAATGCCGTCTACGAACCCGTTGCAAATAATACTCGTCGATAGATTTTCCAGTGACCTCGGTAAGAGTCATTTGTTCTACGTTTGCTGTCCCGTAATATAACTCGTACCCCGCCTTAATTCGACCACCTATCGTTGTGTCAGACGTCACGTTGGAACCAAGTAAAGTCTCCGTTTCTAAATACCTGCGGCAAAGGCATGCAAGTTTGTTAAATCAATAATAATTCAAAATAGTTGGCGCAAACAACTGACTTTGAAGTTTGCGCGTTTAGGCCAGCCTCATGCGCCCTGGTCTCCGGCGGCGGATTTCCAGGGTGACAGTTGCCTCCCTTTCCCTCTCCGCGGCCTACTTCCGGGTGATTATGTCCTCGCGAATGCAAGGACGGCACCCCACGACCGCTGTCCACCATAGATCGAACCACGGCAGGCAACGAGGGATCGTGCAGCACGATAGCCCTCAGCTCTCGGCGCTTGATCGAGAACCGCCAGGCTGGGCACTCAGCAAAGCGACCAAAATACGACCAACTTCAGGGTATTGTCAGATCAACCAAGAACAACTTTTTGACGTTTATATAATTTCAAGTTTAATTAAATATTAAACACAGGGGATAATTATGTTATTACTTTTCTTTTGTTATTAAGTATCGAAGTGTTCTTTTGTTATGAATAAAGTCTTCGCAACTGTTACGATAAGGTTATAAGGGTATATTTTCTTATGTGCGTACATAAGTGCTCATGTCTTTTCTTCTATTTTAAATGAAATAATTAGGATCACGTTTATATAATAACTATCAAAAAACAAAAAATATGTGTGTTAATAAATTGAAGGCAATAAATATACAAAATAATGAGAAAATATTCACTCACCCCTCAGTAAGTGTAAGAAATCGAGACTGCATAGAAGATACGTTAGACAAAACGTATTTTAACAGCCCAAGTGTCGCATTAATTATGAGCAATGGAACAAGGACTTGCAGTGTTAGCACCCCCCAAGACCTACTATATATCAACCAGAGTTTTTGCCAAATTGCGGCGGTGTGGTGGCAAACGAGCTTCCAGCCTCGAACATTTTCATCCCTCCTGTCCACTGCCAGAAAATATACATGTTGTTTATTCAATCTACCTACTATGTTTATGACACAAGGCGGCTTAAGTTCCACAACTGAACTAAAGTTATTGGACTATTTTTTCATTTCTTTATTTAGGGATTCTTGCAATAATGTTTAATAATATTGATAATGCGTGTCCATACTGCGCGGCGTATAAAAATTGTATAGAAAGTATGATACGGAAAGAGATAGCAATATATAGAATTGCAATATAATTACACTAATTGGCGTAATTTGAGTAACTCGGTTTCGTTGCCCTAGTGTTCTATCTAACTCGTATTTGTTTATAATATCATTGCAGTTTCAAACAAATATGTAACGGTGTCAATTTCAACGAACCAATACAGTCAACATTTAATGAGAAATCAGGATCTAGAAAAAAAGAGTTGCAATTTAAGTACAAAATTTGATGTTAGATATATTAGAGTTATTTATAGCTTGAATTAAGTTCTTTTGAACTCTCTTCTTCTTGAGGCAAATGGCAAACCAAACTTTCATTGACATTGATTATTGACCCTCCAACTTTTATTGATTAATCTTATGAATTTATAACTTTATGAAAAATTATTTCTGGTCAAAGTCTGTTGCAAATTACTATTTACCAGTTTGACTCTAGTTGGCGTGCCATATTAAGTAAGACTTAATTATTTTCTAATGAACAATATTACGGTTGGTTACCTCAGTGATCAGTCCTAACAAATTAAAGTCATGATTATTGTTTTTAATGTGTGGAACATCTAAAATTAAAATGACTGCACATCTCAGCTGACAACGCTACACTGAAAAGTGACAACAAAACTACTTATGCTTGTAATTTCTTTTGCATTTCATCCAGCACCTCTGCTGGCAGCCCTCCTGCTTTGTACATGTAGGTTTTTGCGGCTTATATAAATCCATAAATACTCATCGTGACGTCATTTATCTATGACGAAAAATATCTATGAAAGACTCGAAGGCAAAACCCAAACGTGTGTCAATCTTTCTAAATATTTGTGTAATAATAAAAAAGCAAACCAACAGCATTCCGTAGACGCTGAACCGCATTCACACTTAAGTACATCATCTCCGCAACTGATCGTAGTAGCAGTTGCACTGTCGTCCATCTCGGAGTTCAATTCCACATCGGACCCCACGCTGAATATTTTTAATTTCAAAATTAACAAGTTACAAAACAATATGACTGATCCACTAAATTTGTTAAAATGACATTACAATGTGTACAATTGCGTTATTAAAAAAAGTTCTGTCATTTGAGGTGATCAAAAAATTACGTACTAACACGTTGTGGTAACGTAACAGCCGTGATAGCTCGCCTTTAATTCAACATACGCGAGCAATCTGAGTTCTATCCCGGGAAAAACTTCATTGGTGCTGGACCAATGAACTTTAAGTGCTGACTTATCACGTGCTCCGCGGCGAAGGAAAACATCGTGGGGGAACCTGCATATTTTCGAAATAATAACAAAAAATATATATATTTCGAAGATATGTGAAGTCCGCCAATACGCAGTGGGGCCGCGTGGTGGATTATGCCCTGATACCCTATGTATAGAGGAGGCCTTTGTCCAGCAGTGGGACATGTATAGGCTATTACTTTACTTTACGTTATGGTAAATACAAATTTATCTTTTAACATACATCATGTTAAAAATACATAATCATCCTGCTGCCCTTATTCCAACTAGGTGGAGTCGGCACAGCATGTGAATTATGTAAGCGGTTTTGGCAACTTTTTTTTTGACTGGACGCCCGTCTCACGTCAACAGTTCTAGGGAAACAATCACCCAGATCCGGACAATTATCTGTGGGTGACACAAATACTCCCGTGTGGGAACCGAGCCGACGACCCCCGACGCCGGAGTTGAGCAGCTGCGACACCGAGTCATCATTATAAAAATACATATACATAAATTAACTAAAAACGTAAAATAATGAAAAGACCCGAACTAATTTAAATAAATAAAACACAAATGTTTAGGTTTCATTCAATTACTGGTATTGACAGAAGGGGAGAGAGATAATCCAATAACAATTATAATTATATAATAACACTAGCTGACTCGGCGAAGTTTTTTTGCCATATAAATTATTATTATAGGGAATTTGTAGATCTGAACACATAGAAAAAGAATTTTCGGAACGCAAGCAAAACATGTATGACAGGTGGAAACAGTTTGTATGGGAAAATAAAATTGTTGCTATTTCGATTTTCCATGCAATTTTTCCATAGTTTCTCATCGTTTAAACCTTCCCTGGACAGCCACAAATATTACAAAACCAAAATTAGCCAAATCGGTCCCGCCATTCTCGAGTTTTAGCGAGACTAATGAACAGCAATTTATTTTATATAGGTATATAGAAGATAGAAGATGTTTCAACACAAGCTCGTCTCAAATCTCAGTTGTTTTTTATTTTAGTTTAAACTTACGACATGAAAACGTCTTCCAAAGTTGTCGCGACTAATCCATAATTCGCGAATTGGATTCCTTCAGCGTTCATTTCTAAGTCGTTAAGCATATCTTGGAACAGATAAGAATAGTTATTTGTCAAAGCGTATGTTACTTCTGTGCCTGCAAAAAATCACAAACTTTATTTAAATTTAAATTGAAAACAATTTATCCACCAATTGTTATAGCTGTTTAATTGTTAAATAGAACTTATTTATGGATTTTTCCGTTTAATTTGGATTTTAAGTCAAAATATTTTATTTTATGAATTCTAAAGCTCCATAAAGGGTTCTAAACGTCGGGAATTAAAATTTAAATGGGAAAATAATTCGTAAATTAGTGTTATTTAAAAATTTGGACCATTAAAAAATTGCCGTCGAATTGCTTACCTCGATCTTCTTTTATCGTTATGTTTGGTATATATTTATTGATGACTGCCGTGCATCTTTCGGGGGAGAAGTCTTCCTTTTTGACAACGACAAGTGTGTACCCCACGCCATAGTGTTGCTTTAAGAAATATGGGGAGCCAACACAGTGCAATTTGCCACTGGACATTATTGCAACGCGATCACCAAGGATGTCCGCCTCGTCCATGAAATGCGTCGTAAGGATCATCGACCGGCCTAATAAAAATTGTCACTTTGAAATTTATCACCCAATGGTTTCAGAAAATTTCTCTTTTTTTTAAAGTCAATCAGTTTGTCAATCAATTAACAATCTCATTCCCACAATATATGAGATGCATGGTGAAAAAGGAAAAGTGAATATTAACAATTTAAGAAAGACACCGAGCGATCTCGACTTCCGTGCATTTTTGTCTTTTTTTTTCTGTCCGTTACAAACCAATAAAATCTATTTCGTTAGTAAAAATTTTTTGCTTCTTTTGTTTGTTTCCATTTATGTTTACTCTCGTTTACCTTCAAAACTTTTTTTTAACCTGATGTGTGCAGCAATGAGTCTAGCGAGTAAATGTGTATTGTTCAGCTATCGGTTACCTTTCTTCATTTTCTGCAACAAATCCCAAAGAGCGCGTCTAGACGCTGGGTCCATCCCTGAGGTAGGTTCGTCGAGGAGCACTACACTGGCTCCACCACAAAGCGCTATCCCAACACATAACCTCCTCTTTTGACCACCCGACAGACCGCTGGCTAGATAGTCCCGCTGTTAATTGAAATCAACAATCGTATCAATTCATTAATTGCCTATAAAGTTATCAACATCATCACTATTGGAAATCTATTGGAATCATAATTGGAAAGCTATTTACACCACTACGGGTTACGGAAACGGAATCTAATGTTCATGATTAGTTTTGGCGCGATAACCGACATTCACGCGGACGAAGCTGCGAGCTTCATTTAGTATAATATAATATCGAAATATTCTCTTCACACTATTTAAACATTTTGGATTAAAACCTTCATGAGTATAAGTTTGTCCTTAAAGATATTAAAAATACAAAATTGAGACAGAACTCGAAAGGAAAATCGTTTCATAAATGTGAAGAAACAGTCTAAATATAAATGTAAACAATAAATTTTATTTCTTATTTATAACAATGATATTACATACAAATATGATAGATATGGCACTAGCGCACTGAAGCACTCAAATTACGCCAATTGCTTAATTAGATTGCATTTCTATACATTGCTTTCTCTTTCCACATCATACGTTTTATATGTCATTTAATTATGTCACAATCACTTAAATATGTCATATAATGTATAGTGAAACAATCTTTAAAGTTCGAGCAGTATTCGTCATCCTAACTAAAACATAATAGATTTATAATGATTCTAATTGTTCACTTAAAAATTTGTCGATTACCATTAGCTAGTTGCCAAACGTAGTCTAAGAAATGTGACAACATTTTTTAAGATAAATCACGTTTATATTCCCCATAAAACTACTCGCGTTACTCAAATAAGTATAAATATATATGTCTCTCGTCACGCTCCAATCCTCCAGTTACACGACAACAGGTGCAACGCAATCTTGTTGTCGCACCAATCCCTCGGGTACATCCCTTCTACACCTTTTCTCATTTGAACTACACTTTTCACTACACTGTTCATTTAACTCTTTACACCACACTTCACTACACTTTTTGCCCGTCTAGCGCTCTCCGAGCCCCTGTATAGTCCGAATTTCGATCGTCCTTGCGTTCAAACATTTTGATACTATATGAATTTCTTTCGACTTTTAAATAGAATAATCTCGAATCAGGGTTCGAATTTTGATCGTTTCTCTAGTAGGAAGTTCCTGAATAAGAACCTTCTTTTAATATACGCTAATGACTTAAAATTGAATCAGATACGTCATACGAGACTGTCAAGACGTCAAAACCGTCATTGTAACACTAATACTAACGGAAATGTCCAGACAACAAAAAACGAGGACTAACCTTGTCTTCCATTTCCAAGTTACTAATTAGCATGTCAACTTCATCGTGTACTTGCTGACCGGAGTATCCCTTAAGCCGTGAGTAAAAGTCGAGGTGTTCTCGGACGGTGAGCTCGTCAAAAAGTACGTTGTGCTGGGGGCACAGACCAAGGTGTGCACGCGCCGTGTTCAAGTCCTGTCGAACATCGTACCCGGCCAGCCACACCGTACCCCTTGTTATCTCAACATTACCTGGTAAACGAGCAATATTAAAAGCGGTAAATATAAGAATATACAATAATGATATTGGATGTCTTCCGTTAAAGACATAAATTTAATTAGCAACAAGAAAACATAAATTTCTAATGATTAAACTGTGTAAACTCTAATAATAATTCAAGTCGTGTATGTAAGAGCCGTGATACGTGTACGGGCGCTCGCTTCAGTTGTTAGTTCCGACACCAATGAAATTGTTACTTTTAAGGTTCAAAAGTGGAGGAAAAAATCTTAAGAAACGGGCTTTTTTTTAAATAATACCAAAAATAAATACTTTGAAGGTATGTGTAGTCTGCCAATCCGCAGTGGGGTGTCGTTGTAGACTATGCTCTTATACCCTCTGTACAGGGGCCTTTACCCAGCAGTGGAAAATTTATAGGTACATAGGTATATATGTCACTTCACTTTTACTTTATTGTACGGCATCGGTGACGGGATGTACCGAACCTCGATGGCCCTCGATAGGTGATATACTTCCCGTTTAAGATAACGCACCCATATCAAGCTCGTATTTTGGCTAGCGCACCAGTTCTACTTTCAATGAAGCTTTAACTTTAATAGACTGCGGGTTGAGTGCAAAAACATCAGTTAAAGTATGAATACTTTAATTTTGGACCAGTCCACTGAGAGATCGTAATACGCTATATTCAGAACAGCAAAACTACTACTTGTCATGGCCGCAATAAAAAGAAACAACAACGTCTACAACATTAAAATCTGACAAACAGTAGGTACTTATTTAATAATTTTCTGTACCAACCAGTCATCATCGAAATAGTCGTAGACTTTCCAGCGCCATTGTGTCCCAGGAGCACCGTTATTTGATCGTTGTATATGTTTAAATTTAAATTGTTCACAGCAATGTTGTTCCCATACACTTTTGTCAAATTCTGCAACAACGGCACAGGTCACTCAAATAGATTCTTAAGGTCCATAAACACTTAAAGCTAATAGTTTGAAACTTACGGTAATCTTAACCCCTATTTCATGACCATCCGGATCCTTTTCTTTTACGAGATCATTATTAGTATCTTCGATAAGATCATCTGAAAACATTGTATAAAGTTACTGCTCGTAATACAGAACAAATCCAAAAGGCCATATGGCAAAATTAATAACAAATATAAACATATTATTGTTATTATTAATTTACATACCAGTACATGTTCCTGAAATAACGATGTTTCTTTAATATTAGTTTTTTTAGTATTTAAGAAATAAAGTGGCCTCGTTTGAAATATTTCTAATTGTAATATTTAAAAAATTAGTCCCATAGCACCAGGTAAAATATTTTGACCATCAACATCAGCTTTAAATACATCAGGGAGGGTGTATAGTAATAAATACTGCCTAAATATCCTAAGTTTATAAATAATGTTAACACTGTTGTATTTTACAATTCAAACTTATTAGTTGTAACCACGGTTTAACATAAGTCTTGCAACACTGGCCTCTTTACGCGCAAAGTGCCGCTGCGATCGAGGGGTAGCTGATGAAAATCAGCCGGAAAACGTCCAACAAAGGCGTCCCTCTTAGAACGCCATATCGAATAAAGCCGTTTTACCCGCGTCGAATTGCCCGCGACCCTTATGATCTAGTCGTTAGTTATTAAAACCACGTAACTCACGAATTTACTTACTTATATTTTAAAAATTAAGGTTGTGTACATGGGTCCATGAATCGCTACATCCAGATTATCCTTCAACAGTGGACTCGCTTTATACTATTGGAATAATGCTCAGACTGCATGACTGCAAGACTGTCGTGAGACCATGGTTATAGCTGAATCTTAAGTATAAACATAAGCAAAAAACTAAGAGGAAACAATCTAATATTTAAGTTAATTAATTAGTATATTTACCGCTTAAGTCTATTCGTCTGGGAAACCAGAAATCTCGTTGGAAAAGGAAGTACCATGGTTTCGGTACCCCATAATATCCAGGCAAAACTTGCTCGAGGTATAAAGCGATTAGCATGTAGAGTATACAATCCACCACCAACATGACCACTACATGACCAAACATAAAGCGGGTCGAATCAACGGTATTTGAAGCAAAGAATTCACCCCATTGCATACCTGTCAGTAGAAATTTAAACAAATACACACTTTTGCATAATACTTTTCGGACATAAAACAAACATGAAAAACCATACAACAAATTTCACTCATTTACATGGAAAATTTCGCATAATGACTACTTAATATATATAAGTACTAGCTGGTGCCCGCTGCACTTCGCTTCACCTAGAAAAGTCTTTCGTATAACCAGCGTCGCCTATCCGGCACTAACGCAACTATGTTCGTCGGAGTGGTTTGTTGCCCTTTATATAATACTACCGACCCGCCCCGTCTTCACACGGGTGCAATAAATTATACATATAAACTTTCCATTTGAACCACCCTATCTAGTAACAAAACCGCATCAAGATCCGATGCGTAGTTTTAAAGATCTAAGCATACATAGGGGCAGACAGACAGCGGAACGACTTTATTTTATACTATGCAGGGATGTGCGAAGTTTCATATCAATCGTTCATACGAGTCTCGAGTTTTAGATGAACACATAGATTATCTTATTTACTATATATACAGCGTGTCGTTACCATCGCGACAATAAATGAACACACGTCTAATGCTACGTGCCAATAATCATAAAAAATATTAACGTTAAACAAAATCCATAATTAAAAAAATATATTTTTCAAACAAACTGATTGAGTAAAAAAGAAACAAAATATGTAACATCCTATACAACTCGCCGCGCCACAGCGTCGTATTACAAGCCTCTCCTTCTAACAGTATGTTTTGTCTCTTTTAAATTCATTCAACCCATTCATATGCTTTGTGACCTTTACAAATGAACTTTACGTTACGCTTTTATAGGTGAGGGTGTTCTAAAATTGTTTGATTTTGAAAATTTAATAACTCTGTAAATATTCATGTTTAAAGAATTTTAATGTTTAATACAACTTTAAAAAGTTATCCCCTATATGTGTGTTGATTTATTGTCGCGGTGGTAACGACAAGCTGTATAAAGAAAATTATCAGTACTTCTTATTAAGATCGGTCTTCATGCAACTCTTTGTCAAGGACATTCATTTTTTTATTATCGACGAGAAAATAAGTAAAGTAAAGGCAATTAAAAAGTCCCTAGTAAAATAAAAGTTCTTTAATGTTCATGCTTACCACCGGTGCTTTCCTTAGAAAGTAACAATTGGAAACCATAGGACATTGCCGTGTTGATACTGAGGCACGTAAAACCTTGCACAATGGCCGAAACATCCAAATCTAGACTCAATATTAAAGCGGGCACGTAGCTCAGGAACCACACGACACCCGCAAATAAAGCTGCAGTGCTTCCTATTTACAATAATAATAGAAACAAATAATGTATAAACATGGTTTATAAGTGTAATAACAAAGAACACGTATGAAATAACGAACTTAAGTTGCATTTCATAAATTATTGAAAAAAGTAAAATATTTGGGACTTAATTTTAGTTCTTCTAAAGATGAAATTAAAATCTGAATCCTTTCATATTGTCTCCGCAAAAATTTCATATTGCAAACTTTTCAGTATGAATATGACTTTAGATAAATGGTCAACCTAAAGGAAGGCGAATGATTCATAATCCATAAAAAAAATATTATGGAATGAAAAAGGAGTTAATGTTGGCATAAATACAGAGACATCTATAAATTTGATGAATGTAAATACGAGGATGAAAATTGACGATTTAAAATTTAAAGGTGAAATAAAAGAAACTCACCTTTAGAAAAAATACCACTAATCATGAAACAGAAGAAAATCATACAGCTCAAATACAACATTATAAAGAAAAAGAGCACACTCCATGATGTGTTTGTAAATACTGCATAATCATTGAACCCTTTTTCGTTTGTGAACCAGTTAACCTGAAATTTATAAAAGCTTCAAATATTTTTAATATGTCCTTCAGATATCAGTACGGATATTACTAAAGTACAAAAAAGTTTACCTTCAGGATAACTACGATAAGGATTGTGGTAAACATAAGGTACAGAAATTGCTTGAAAAACCAAGCTGTCCAATGTAACCACGTTGGTAGACCCATTATTTTCATCGACTCCTGAAACATTGATATAATTTCACTATGGAGAATATAACTATGTAAATATAAACTAAATAAATATACCTATTATATTTATATTATTAATATTAATATTAACTATGTAGATATATTGAATGCAAGCTGAAAGGGAACTCACTTTTAGCTGGAGTTCTTTTTCCACCGTTACTGCGCGAACAATGTTCACAGCCGTATAACTGAAGCTCAGTATCATGAACATAGGGAAAAGCAATTGCAATGCTTCCACGACCAGATCCTCTACGTACGGCGGATGTGGATACCTTTGAAAACTTACAATGTAGTTTCGCAAATCCTCCCCGGTCAGTCTTGAAATCAATTCGGTTGATATTACTTGCTGCAGCGCAATGAACATTTCGTTGACATACCCTAGAACCATTGATTGTTTTATTGGATCGTTTTTTTTTTTGTTTTTTGAAATTACTTCAATGACGACTTACCCGGATCGTTGCCTCCTTCCCAAGAAAAAGGAAATCTAGGTCCAGGCATTTCAAATAGTGGAAAGACTGCATCTGTTCGCCATGTACGACCGCCCTGGACATAAAATGAACTAAGCCTCGGTCTTTCAGGGAATCGTAACGCGTATGACAAGTTGATTGGCAACTCAGACGCATCTATAAATTAAAGAGTATGCGTGAAGATGGCACTTAATTGGGTAAATTTGACCAAAAGAAAAATGTAACAAACCTCTCAGATCATCACTGAACTCTACTGCTGCTAAAATTTTACGAGTGACCTCTTCTTGCGAATAAATGCCTCTCAAGTCTGCGCTACTATTATAAGCCCTCACATTAACAAACATCTTTAAGATTTCGTAAATAACTGTCTGATTAACGTTAATAGGCGGTAATTCGATTTCGGGAAGATCCGGGAATAATTCTAGAATTATCGGTATTATATCTCTTATATTAAGGAGCAACAGATTCACGACAGAACTACGTATAACATCGTCCAACATGGGATTTTCTGGAGAGTAAGCTAATGACAGCTGAGTGAAGTTCATACCGGCCCTGGAAACGGAAAAGAAATAGATAAATTGCTTTTCTCCTTTAAAAGAAAGAGAATAATTTTCAATAAAGATAATAGCACTTACAGAACGGGCAGAGAGTAATTAAGAGTGTGTGCATGTATTGGTGGATAAACTTTGGTGTCTTGAAGGACGGGTTCTATTTCTGAGCGTAATATCAACACCAGTGCCATAGTTCCCACTGGCAGCAATAGTTCTATAACTGTCTGTTTCTTGTGACGCCATTGGTGCATAAAATTCTTCCACATCAGCAACCCAAACTTAGTTCCGGCACTTGCCTGCCGTGTCTCTCGCTTCACTCTCATTGTAACAAAGTCTAAAAAATAATGTACATATTGATTTTTTAAACAGATCACATGTGGAATTCGCTTTGAATTAAACACAAAAACTCACAGAAAAACTGTTGAATGTTGCTAATAGTGTGTGGGAGATAATCGTTACAAATCTGTCAAATATATTCATAATTATCTTATCTTTTAGGGTAGTAGGGTAACGTCATGCCTAGCTGTTACCGGAAGCTTTGTAATGCATAGCTCATGCAAAGGCGAAGTTTCAAATGCGATGAACGCGATAGGTTTTATGTAGAAGCAAAACCACGAGCTTTAATATTCATTTATTTCTGACAATGTTGTGTAATGTTACAATGATGGATAACAAAATCCATTTAACTCTGCTAAATCATTTCATCGGTACTAATTTCACCGGTAATAAAGAACAAATATTTTAATCAATGTAAAGTATTTTTTTAAATTTTTGCGTTGTCTTTAATCAGATGTTTAGGTTCTCAATTTAAAAATACCAAAACATTACTTTAAAACATTTTGGATTTCATCATCATCATCATCATATCAGCCGTAGGACGTCCACTGCTGAACATAGGCCTCCCCCATTGACTTCCACTTCGACCGGTCGTTAGCGGCTTGCATCCAACGCGTCCCTGCGATCTTGGCTAGGTCGTCCGTCCACCTTGTGGGAGGCCTTCCTACGCTGCGTTTGCCGTCACGTGGTCTCCACTCGAGAACCTTTTTGCCCCAACGGCCATCGGTTCTTCGAGCTATGTGCCCTGCCCACTGCCACTTCAGCCTGCTGACTCGCTCTGCTATGTCGGTAACTCTAGTTCTTCTACGGATCTCCTCATTTTGGATTTATCATTATTTTAACTTAACTTAATATTAAATGTTAAAGTTACGTTATATTTGCAAGAATACAAATTCAATGACAACATCTTTTAAAGCTACTCGATCTACACCTAATGAGTCATCTAATATCAGTTGACTTTAGTAGAAGTAAGTCGTAATAGGCCATAAAAATAATCTATAAATTATATACCATATAGTCGCAATCTAAATTTGCTAAAAAAAAAATTATTCATGCCTTTGTTCTAAAAGGCCTCAGCGCCTCAGGCCTCAGGACCTCGTGTCTGCGTTGAAAGATATTTAGACAGAAGAAACGAAGGGGCAAGTTAATGGTTTAAAATATGGAATATTATTCAATTGCGTCAATGGTAAATTGTTAAGAACTGATCGCCTGTTTGTATGCTGGAAAGGATATAACAATAAATGCGCCAAGCATTGCTTCAAATGCTAAATAACAATGTAGAAAGAAGGCGTTGAGATTTTCGTCACTGTGGCTATCAGCCGTTTAGCTCAGTGGCTAGAGCGTCAGGCCGCGAATGCCGAAGACGTGGGTTCGATTCCCACAGCGGCGACAATCTTTTCGTACTTTTCTACATGTTTTAATGTTCAATCTTAAGTGCAGAGTTAACTAATCAGCTGTCAAATAGCTTTTCAAATCTTATTTAAGGTACCAGAAGGATGGTTAAACTCTCTGAATTTATCTGAATGATTAATGGTCCGAATGATCAATTCAAATAGTTTAACCATGCTTTTCACAACTCAAATATATTTGAAAAGCCATTTCACAGCTGATTATTTAAGAAGTTAAATAATTCTACCATGATCAGTATTTCAGAAACCGGGCGTAAGTTTTATATACAATTTAAAGTCAACAACTCGTAGTACCGACACAGTAACGACACGCTATATAATAGCATATATTTGATATTTATAAATTATTTTTACACGACTATTTTACACGAGCCTATTATATATGTACCTATTTCTAATTATCTGCATTGCTTTACAGCCTTTTGCCGGATTTCAACATATCATGAGGTGCAATTAGATTCATCTTAATTGTAAGCTTTTATTTCATTTTTATATTTTTATTTTACACATCGTGTCCGCGAAAAAACATAGCGGAGTACTCTCAACGGTGAAGGAAAACATCGTAAGAAAACCTGCATATTTTCTAAATAATAACAAAAAAAAGTGTGTGCGTGTAACCTTACGCGCGATTGAAGTAAAACTTCTTTGGCGTTGACGGCATATATCACTGAAATGATTAAATATTTAGTATTTTTAAAATATGACATATACTGACGTTACTTCCGTCAGAAAAAGTACTTACTCCCTAACTACGTTACTCCCTAGTCGCGCCTAAAGAAGTTTTACTTCAAAAAAATATTTCGATGATATGTGAAGTTCGCCAGTCCGCAGTGGAGCCGCGTGATGGACTATGCCCTGATACCCCCTGTAAATAGAGGAGGCCTTTGCCCAGCATGTAGCGTGCAGATATGTATAGGCAGTTACTAAGTATTTTCAAAGTAAATATTTTCATTTAATGATGTTTGCTTGTTTATAAAGTAAATTAAGTTTTCAAATAATTTATAGGTTCGTAGTCGTAAAAATATCTTAGGACATTAATTTTTATTAATGGAGGAAAAATTGTAATATAAAACAGTCAGAATCAGAGTTACTTATAATGGTGGACAATTAGGCAAAAAATCACCCAATATATACTGAAAGATAGAAGCACAACTAAAAGTGTTTCGGTTAAACTAAACTTAAGTCTCTTAATTATTAATCACAAATGATGGCATTTAAAATAGAAGTTTTTTGTCTGACAACTTATACAAAAAGGTTTTTCCACGTACCGGGTTCGAATCCCGCTGGCCCCAACACGCGGGCAATACCGCCAATATAGCATACAGCCGCCAATATTAACGCAAATTATCTCACATCAACTTACACAAATGTCATTCGAATTCTCAGCCCAAAAGTTACCCTGCCCTATTCTCACAATCACAAAACACGCGCACCTCTGTCACAAACAAATGCCAATCGGCGCACGGCCGTGCGTCAAATGATACTAATTCGCCCTTATCGCTACGTGTTCAGGTGTGTAGATACCAAATATCGCGACGGTCGCGGTCGAATATAAAACAATATCACGACAAGTAATTACATTTGCCATTAAAACGTGTAAATAAGTGACACACTTCCACGTGTTGAAAAGATGAAATAAGAAATTACCTATCTTCGTTTATTACTCATTGCACCGAACTATGAACGGAAGTTGCGGTTCGATATTTATAGTGGCGGAAACGGTAAACGTACTGCACGAGACTGGAAAACCTAGGACAGTTTTGCCTGAAATTGAATCTTATTTTTTATTTTATAATTACTTATTTAATTTATCTTTGTAAACTATAATCTATTGCTTTATCAAGATACAAGGTTGAATCCAATATCTCAGATATTAACACTTGAAGCATCTTGAGGAAAATAAATATTTGCATCTGTAATGTTGGGAAAATTAATTTTTATCTGGTTCACATAAATTTATTTTCGCCTGAGGTCAAAATTTCAGCGTTATTGTGGAAAAAGAAACAAAATAACATGGATAATCATTTTTTGCAAAAACTGGGCGAAAACGGAACCGAACCATTGTCGATCTGTCTTTATTGGTTGGCTTATAACTGATCATAATGGTCGAATTTCAATGATCCACAGTTGCATATAAAATTACAAAGACTGGTAAAATACCACTTAAAAATAAATTTAGTTTCAATAGGAAGTAAAAAGTGCGTCCAATACGAAATCTGTTCGCCAACGTATTGTGAAATATTCGGCCTATTTGCAAAAAGTCTGAATTTAGTATTTATCTGATACGTTCCTTATCGCACTATTAGTTATACGTTTAACGAAGGTATTGATTTATTTCTGTGAATTTTTAGATGTTATATAACTGCTTTTCATCGTGTGAACAATAAAATGCTGACATTTTATCAATTTTCAGCATTGCGACGATCATTATTCTACAGTTTCATATTTTATTTCCTATTAATTACCTAAATTAGCATAAAATTGTTAAAAATTATCCTAAGTTAAAAAAAGGTTAATAATAAAAAAAACATTTAAATTACAAACAGCAAAGTCTATCAACACTATTGTGTTCATCTTGATTATGAAAAGAATATTTTAGAATTCAATTTCGAAAAAACTGTTTTACAGCAATAAAGACATTTAAGATATTGAACGTCGATCACTGTACAGACTCACCGTTATTGTTATAAATTGAATGAAATGTCTAGATAGATTTTTTTTTGCGAAGGTTTACTAAAAATATTATCTATAAAGGTTATTATAATAATATGGTATACATAGATGTTTCAAAAGTGTATCGACCTTGATAAGCTTGCAATATTATTATAATGAATTAGGCACTAAAGACTGCATTCCATCAAATACAATTCTTATCAATCTAATCTAATGTAATCAAATCTATACCAGTCATTTCTTTATTTCAAGTTATACGTTGCCATTCCTATATTTTAATAGACTTCGGACTATTATTTCCTTTTAGGAATTAATACTAAGTCAAATCTAAAAATAACTTATATCTATCATGCTGCCACGCAGCAACTTTTGTTGTTTCACGAGGGAACTAGGTACTCCAGCCTCATAAAAGAACGGCATGAAGCGGAAGTGTTATACTCCTAAGTTTATCTGTTGTGTGAAGTAAATGGCGTACTTTTTAAAAGGTGTCAACGCAATTGCTACCCTACAGGTTTTGATTATATACTTGTCTTGATGGAGAAATGCTTAACAAATGACGCGTGTCTCCGATTGCGTGATGTGTGTGAGTGCCGCAAGTTTACTCAGTGTAAACAAACTGTCAAGGTGTGCGTATTTAGGGATGCCTGCTCCAAATCATTCACTTAAGATTTCTCCATTATTTGATAAGGTGACGTTAAACAAAAAAGGTAAACGAATAAATAAAGTAAGAAATTAATAAATCAATTATTTTGTAGATTAGTAATATTATTTATTTTAGTAACCACAAAAAATACACTAGTTTATACAGCAAAATCTGTATCTAAAATCTATAAATGTTTAATCCCTCTCCAGCTATTTGCAAGTGCGGAATTCGTAGAAAATCTGAACCTAAAATAAATGTAAGA